AATGGGGCTACCACGCTTGAATTCGGTGCGAGAGGGCGCTAGTGTACAGTGAGGGCTCTAGAAATGTTAAATGGTATTGAACGTTTACTGTTTACGAGCTTTTTATCGCGCATTTTCACTAATATATATGATTATTATAGATTGTGCCATTCCTGGATAAATTATGGCAGGCACGGTACGGCACAATAAATCTTATTAGTTTAAAAGAAGAGTTAAGAAAAAGTCAATATTTTATCAATTTGGTTTTGATTAATATTTAAAATCCTGATAGAATTTTTTTCGCGATAACAATTATAATTATTATAATATTAAATTTACCGCTGCCGCACTAACAAATACTTTTCACAATATATAGGACCTCACTCGCCAATGGCAGCAGCTGGTGCCACCAGAAATGATAGCCTTCGTTGAGCGTACACTATAAATATTTTCTACGCAGGTGGCTAGTCTCATTGACATTGGCCGCCGTGGCGGAAATCGGTTCCGCATGAGGGCATCAGCATTATAATAATTATAATTTAAACTGAAAAACTCCCATGTTATTTTTAATATCAAGCAAATGTATTTAGTCAGCTACTCTAAGCTTTGGCTGCGTCAACTCAGGCGTAACCGGTTGGCAAAATAGCTAGCTTCTCACGGTCTATTTTTTTCAGAATTTTATAAAAGTACTTAAAGTTCTTAAATAGAAGTTTGTTAGAAAACAACTATGCATTCCTTCGCTCCACAAATAACACTTGAAAGTTTATATTTCATGTCCTTTTTTGTTCATTTACTTAAAAATAATCTTACTTATAGTATGTAATGTAAGAATGTATTAACAAATAATGTTTTTGTTCTGATGAATAGAATTGAACATTTTTTCAAGTTCTCCAATCAATTTTTAAAATATGTTCTACAAAATATGAACACACGGACGAGGTGATGACATAATATTATACCATATATTATGATTAAGTAGCGACCACTATTATTACATCTAAAGTATAAGATGGGTTTTAAAAGACCCATTTGATCACTCCTAATGTCTAGGTATTAAAGTAAGACAAATTATTTGTTAATTTTATTTTTATCTTTAATCAAGTTTCTTACAGGGTTATTTCTCTAGTATAGAGATTGAACTGGTGACCTCTACTGTGGTAAGTAATGTTCGAAAACAAACAAAAAAATATATTTTGTTATTGATTTGCATAAATAGATAATTTAATTCTGACAAAATTTTGGGGGATTGGTACTGTATGCCGTAATACAGGTCTCCTAGTACGGAAATAGACACAACCGTATTATTTGTATTGATAGTTTAAATTGTGTGTTTCGAATTGTACCGTACAATATGCTTTTCAACTACAATATGTATGTATTTTTGTGAAATAAATTATTATTACTTTACTTGTATTAGAATGTTTCTATCGAGAGTGCTTGTACCCTTTGAGTTGTCTAATAAATGTAATTATATATTGTTGACGACATTATTATGTTTTCCCTTGACTCATAATAGGGTTTTATTGCTGAGCGTAATATTATTATTTTCCTTACTCCACGGATGAAGACACATGTAGAACAATTACGCAGTGGTTATCTATACATATAATAAAATTCTAACTAAGCCGAATCTGTACATTAAATATTTTTTGGAAAATCTTATTAAAATAGACATTATTTTCGATACAGAGGCCGAATCAATAGTTTTTAGAATTTTTGTCTGTCTGTCTGTTACCGCATCACAGAAAAACTACTGGAGGCATTTTGATGAAATTTGGTATGGTGATAGCTGGTTATCCGGGTGATTACCGCGGGAAAATGTCTCATTTCTGAGAAAAAATACAAAAACTACAATGTAAGAGTATACTAATATATAAAACCTAAGAATTTGGTTTTTGGTCATCTGAATGCGGGCGGAGCCACGGGCAATGCTAGTCATTATTATAATTATTGCAAGAAATGTTTTGTATATACTTTAAAAGTAATATTAGGTACTATTTATATCTGATTGGTAATTTTTGGCTATTCAGGTAGACACAATTCTAATTCTAGGATGGACGAAAAATATTATTTAGTGTATAAAAGCCAACCGATTTTTCGCCTTTTTAAGTACTAGCCACTTAGAACTCTTTCAACTACTTTAGAAGTGAGGTATCTACGGTAGTTTTGGTGGATCTGCCATTCAGTGAAAGTTAAAAGTTATACTAAAACCCAAAGGAATCTTCCTTCTTTCTTTCTCTTACGGCTGGCCTGTCAAAGAAAAAAAATCCTTGAGGAGTTGTTTGTTCTCCGCTATCAGGGGAGTACCAAGAGCTACCCGCACGGTACATCACCGAGGTGAGACGCCTCATAAGGTCCACTTTTCAAAGCTTATTATTTTTCATGAATTATAAAACTAAAATAGAGAAACACCTAATAAAAAGTAAAGGATTACATTATTAACTTTGCAAAACAACATAAAAGAAAATATTGTTGCTCTAACTTCCTTTTTGTTAAGAACAGGCCATTTACAATTTATCTTTAAACACAAATTCTCCCTTTTATTTCAAAAGAAAAATGTTCTAAGATAATCTCTGTTTTGGCGCTTTATCTTAATTACATAGAGGTGTAAATTTTACGAAGTTTGAATCTGTTTATATTAAATAAAACAACAGATAAGACTTATTTAAACGTTTTTCTTTTCAAATTTAGGAGTGTTTTCGTGTAGTTCTTTGAGAAAGTCACATAAAATTTCTGTAATTAAGTTATTATTGCTTAAAGTTAAAGTGAAATAATTATTTTTATATTAGCATATAATATATTTTCATATTAGCATAAAACACTAAGATTGTTGTATCAAGAACAAAATCACCTAAAGTCACATTAATATATATGAATATATAAATAAGTAAATAAATATACTAATTTAATGCGCACTTATTATGGCAAAGACAAAAAAAAACAAAATATTAAGCAACACTTAATATGTTAAATTTTTAAAATAATTGCAATGCAAATTAATGTTTTAATTATTTTGAATTTATACAAAAAATATAGTAATATAGATAATTAAAGAATTATAAGAAATATAATAATAGCAAACACAATTGCATATAATTATTTTATTCTAGATTATACATTTTTATTAGAATATTTAAATTTAAAATTACCAAATATTCTAAAGCACTTCGGTGTCATTTTTCTATTTCTTCTTAATTATTAATATGGCTTAACAAAGAAAAGCTTCCTTCGATATCGAGCGTACGAGTATGTTGCTCATGGAACCGAACCTGTGGCCTTTGGTGTAATGATAGAATGTGATAAGTACAGAATTAAAATGTTACATGCTAATGCACGGAATGGAGTAATAAAAATAGAGAATACGAGTGTTTGCGCAGTGGTCGTTTGACAATAATCATTTAAAAAGTGTGTATGTACTTTTTTACCTAGGTAAATGTTATACTTCTTTGTTTTTAGAGCATTTCAATAAAAGTTTAGTTTTTAACGTCCTCCATATTGAATTAAAAATGGCGGCATTTATCTAATCGTGCAGTCACGAGAACCAAACGTGTTGTGTATCTAGAAATATCAGAATATACAGGGTCATTTTTAATTTACTGAAAACCTTTTGGGAATATACTATTTACATCATAACAACAACATCTGTAACAAGAAAAAAATGTATTTATTTCTTAATTTTTTATTTTGATACAAAAATAAAAATATTTTTATTGCACCTTCTAAACGGTAAAGTTCTAGCAAGCTTGGCCAAGTTTAAATGAGTAAGGGCCACTTCCTACACCCCTCCACCACTCCCCCTCCACCCTCCCCCTCCACCCCTCCCCCTCCACCACTCCCCCTCCACCCTCCCCCTCCACCCCTCCCCCTCCACACCTCCCTCTCCACCCCTCCCCCAAACTCAAAAATTCACTCGCATCATTCATTTTTTATTTTTCATAGCGCACCAACTTCAAAAAAGAAAATCGATTGACAAACGGAGAAGAAAAAGTTAATGAATCATTTTGTATTTCCTCATTTATATATAGATACAGTATAGTGATATTCGGGGCAGTGGAAACCGAGTGAAGCGGGTTCAAATCCTGGGTCTCGCACCTCTGATATTTTATGTGTAAATCATTTTTAACGTGATTACCACTTGCCTTACGGTGAAGGAAAACATCGTGAGGAAACCTGCTTGTCTGAGAGAATCTAGCAAGTTTTTGAAAGACACGACACTTGGCCATCGTGGTGGACTATGGCCTGGTCCCCCTCGTATTGAAGGGAGGTCCGTGCCTAAGAGTGGGCGTTAAGAAGGGCTGAATATGAGTACATACATACATAGAGATATTCAGAAAACAGCTACTTAAAAAATTACTTAAATAAATTACTTTACTAACTTTTACATCCTTTTGGAAATAGTATAATTAACACAGTACTCTCGAATGTTGCGGTTGTTGCCTATTTCCTTTGATCTTAAAGCAATTACGATAATTACCCAACGACCAGCTAACTTTACCGTTTAAATAAGGACGATTCTAAATTATACTATAACTAGCGGTCTGGGATTTCCGTTTTTCTAATAATACAGTGAATTGTTTCATAAACTTAATTAACCATTTCGTGGTTGAGTTTTTAGTTATACTTTCCTGGTCTTACCATTTTGATCTAGTTATGTATTTTTATTGTAAACCAACATTTTAAGATAGTGAACCTCTTGCTTAAGCTTCAAAAGGAAAACACGAATCTAGTTTGTCTATACATCAGACCTATCTATCTATATTAAGTCTACCTGTCACAATCTATTTTCTAAGAATATAATAGTCGAAAGGAGACAAGTACCCCAGCATGATCCGCTTACTTGTTTTTAAAGTGTCCTTAATTGTTAATAACTGAAATATGTACATGTCTTATTAATTTACCACAGAGCACAATTTATAATAGCAGTTTTAAGTAAAGACCATATTTAACCTTTCGTTTTCACATGATGACATTGTTGCCTTTGATGAGAACCAGTAAGATTAACATCCACGACAGTGTCTCACATGCAGATGTCGCAATTTCAAGGCAAACATTCTAATACACCTACTACTCCGACGCCGAGGAAGATACCATTGGCAGATTTATTTGGCGGGTAAATGAAACTATCAGCAGGGCTATTATAGATCATAATTTGAAGATGGCAGTATCTCTAATCTCATAGAAACGAGGAAGCTATAAGAACGCTGCCATCCTACACCAACCAAGACACAGTCAGGCCAGTACCACACCAGGATAAGAAGAATCCTCAGGCATCAAGACCGACTCTTAATGACTGTTAATGAGAACATAAGGACTGCTCCAGTTCTTAATAATATTTTCTAACAATTTTTTTTCTTATATCATCAAATCTGAAAGCTCAAATGGACTCCTATTGCCGATTTATGATGATAATATGAACTTTAAATTATATTTCTTCAAATTCTTAAATAGGTAGCAAGAGTATAATTTTACATTTAAAATAAAGAGAAATAAAATTATATCAAAATAAATAAAGAGGTCAAAAAAGGCAAGGACTATATGTAGGTACGTATTATGTGTTATGTTACGAACACATTTAAAAAGTTACGCGTCTGCTCCCGACTCGCGTTCCTTCAGCAAAAATCTCTTTAGAGAAACACTAGGAGCAATCGGCATGTCAAACCGCTTAATACCCATCAGGACATGGTATGTGCTTCCCCGACCCCCCCCCCCCCTCCTTCCAACGTGCGTTCACCTTGTTGTGGTGGGGGGCTCAGTAGTGCCTGGCAATCCAACCGGGCGCGAAGCCAAGAAACGCACAGGGAGGTGGCCCACTTCGGTGGGCGGTGGGAGGTGGCCCTCTTCGGTGGGCGGTGTACCATGCGGGTTGTTCTTGGTACTTCTCTGAGAGTGGACCTTGGAGCAACCCATGGTTGTGGTGGTCTGCTTCGGCAGACCTGTCGTCGGGGCGTCGTAGTTGAATGCGTAAGCGATCCTGCGACGCCCCATTAAGACGGGGGAAGGTTTTATTGGGTTTTAGTGGGTAGTACTGGCTTTATTACGCTGGTGAGTCCCACACCTCGTGCGTAAATGCATTTCCTAGGTATCGTTAAAAAAAATGGTATGTACTTCAGATTTTAATGGGATAATCCAGTAAAAATATTGAGTCCTACGACCTTTGATGTATGTATGTGTGTTCGATAATACAAACTCACCCAATCTGTATTTAATTAAACAGTAATTGCAGCAAAATTGTAAGAATCTTTTCATCTTACACCTTGACCGTTATCCTTATATTTTAAACTAGGTATTATCTAGTATTTAGTCCTAAGTGGACTCCGGAACTAAAATGGTCTATTACTATTGTACATAGCCCTAAATTTACATAATAATGCATAGCAAGGTGAGCAAGTTACATTTTTGTTCTCTCAGTTATTTTTAAGTAACTTGCTATACAAGTTACATTTTTTGTTCAAAATTTTAATTGATGAAACAAAAAAAATTATAGTCCTCTTAGCTATTTCCAAGTAAATTGGATGAAGACAGATTTTTTTATTAGTATTAAATGCAATGATGAAATAAACTTAGCTCAAATATTTTAATAAACAAGTTATAAGAGTAAACTTACGTGTTTTAAACTTTAGTCGTAGTTTAGATACACTACTAAGCAGTCAATATAAATAAGGTAATAAAATTTTATGTGATATTATATACTTTTTTCTATTTTATAATTTTTATACCAATTACATTTGTAAAATATTTTTATTTAACTTTAATTCAATTTAATGATTTTAAATTTAGTGAATTATAATAATAAATATAATAACTTCACTAGTTATGAAAATCTAAAGTTGCAATAAAACCATATATTAAACATGCTTAGATACTTACCTTCTTTCGCGTGTTTAAAGTTTTAGTTTAATTGCACATATAAAAGCTGTTAATGTGAGCTTAAAAGTTAGTTTTAACTTAATTGGACTACAATAATATTATGCGAGTGTGTGCGTGTGTAAACGCTGAACGGATTTGGGTGAATTTTAGTATACAGATAGACTATGACTATGAGGCACTAAGTGAAACAAAGGTAAGTTGCTAATATTTATATAATTTATATATATCCTTTTCATATTATACGTGTTTAAAATTATTATTTCGTTTATCACTGAACATACATATCTACCAAAAATGCCATGTCCTGCACATAGGGTACTTTTTACCTGACTGCGGCGAAGCCCAAAGGAGAGTTATGTGTGTATGTACATTTTTAGTGCATGTTTCTAGAAATAAATACAAAATTCATAAAAAAACAATATTATATTATTGTTTTTTTTATGACGATAGTGTCCGGGGACGACTTTTTTCAAAGCAATATATCTTAGTTAATTTTAAAGCTAGCAAAATAAAACTAAATGTAAGTGTTATAGTACACTTTATAGTTTATTTTGTAGCCGTTTCCTATGGACCAAACCTTAATAAAAGTATTAAAAAAAATGCAAATAAAAATTTTGTCAATCGATTTCTATCATAACATATTATAATTAAATTACCTCTTGGAAAAAAATATATAATAATTGGCTTTATATTGTCTAATAGCATGCCAAGATTCATTAAAATCCATTAGGTGCAATATGTCGAAAAAAAATCAAAAGTGAGCACGCACTTTACGACCACTATGTTGACACTTTTAACGTGCATAACATTTTTAGTTTTTCAATATTGGGCACGAAAGGCTTAAAATGAAATAGAATATATATTTTCCCAATAGAAATTAAACCGCTATTCATAAAAAAATTCGTTTATTAGTCATCATCACTATCTTCATTAATTACAACGTGCGCGTTATTTATAGAAAAAATACTGAAAAACATTTCTACTGGGCAAACTATATAAGATTTATTATTATATATAATATTATATATATTATATATATTTACATTGCATACATTCGATAAATAAACCTACTAATGGTATGCTATCTCTCTTGGCCGATTTCGACCACAGCGACTGTTAAGATTGGATAGGTTTTGCTCTAATGTTGAGAGTTAGGGTTATAACCTACCATTTTTTTTTGGGAAATGCATTTACGCATAACATAATACTCCCTGTAATCATAAAGATAGGACTCATTGGCTAGGAAAGCCAGTACTACCTACTAAAACTCAATAAAAAAGACGGGGGTTGCTCCAACAATCCACTCTGCCATCAGAGAAGCCACCTCCATGTGCCCCCCCCCCCTCTCCCCTCATCCCTCAGGCCTAACTCAGGGCACCCTAGAACTTTTTACGACATCTTATCATCCACGAGATCCACTTGAAGTATCGGGATAAAAGTAGCGTACGTCACTTTCCAGCTAATACTTACTATGAAATTATGTATGAAATTGAGTAATAATTCATTGGAAATTTTCAATACTAACATTGCCCGCCTGCCTTGTATTTTCTTCATATTATTATATAATACTAGCATTGCCCGCGTTCAGATGACCAAAAAACAAATCCTTAGGTTTTACATATTGGTATACACTTACAATGCAGTTTTCGTATTATTTCTCAGAAATGGGATATTTTCCCGCGGTAAAAAGTATCCTATATGTTGACCCAAATAACCAGCTACCACCAAACCAAATTTCATCAAAATCCCTCCAGTGATTTTTCTGTGATGTAGTAACAGACGGACAGACGGACAAAAATTCTAAAAACTATAGAATCTACCTCTGTATCGATAATAATGTCTATTTCAAAAAGATTTTCCAAAAAATATTTAATGTACAAATTCGGCTTTGTAATCATTTTATTATATGTATAGATTATCATTTTTTGTATACATTATACCAAAGTACTTTTCAAACATTTTACAGAAAATGGAGGCAGAAGGATGCCATCCTTTGCTACAAGCTACACAAGAAGAGATTTGTAAAACACGTGAATTTTATAATTTGGATGAACAAAAAATAAAAGACTTTATCGATGCAATAAAGGAATGGTGCAAGAAACAGGAACACTTGGTAGAAGCTAGTAAATATCTAAGTAAGTTCGATATAATATGGTCGAGATAATGGGGATTAAACTGAAAGTTAAATAACTTACTAAAGAATCTATACTAATATTATGAACGTGAACGTAACTCTGTTACCTTTTCACATTTAAACTGCTGAACAGATTTCGATGGCAAGCACATAGATTGCATCCTGGGGACGGACACAGACTACCTTTGATTCCCGGTTTAGTTACCACGCAAGCAAAGCCGCCGGCAAAAACTAGTTAAAAATATGTTTTTAGTAGAGCAATATTTAAGCAATTTTTAATTATTTACCCACAATATTAATTTACAAATCAGACACAAAAAAAAAAACAAAAATGCTAGTTCTTGTGTGAATTAATTTGTTAAATGTTTTAATTTGATTTTGAAAATTAAAATTATTTATTTTATTAACCTCAATTCATTTTCTTTGAATGACTTTAAGTTGAATATGGGTTACTTTGTCACGTAGAACATAAAGAACATGCGACGAAGATTAGTGAATAAAACAGATTATAAATAAATTATACAGTTATATGAAGTATTCTTTTTTCAGCTCATGACATAATAGAACGTCTGATCTACCTGTCCAGAGGTTCTCTCGAAGCAACGAAAACAAAAATTGACAGGCTATTGACAATAAGAGGATTGTCACCACAAATCGTTGCCAACAGATCAGTCGAGGAGTTTGAGGACTACCTAGACAAATAGTTTGTATATATTAATATTACTTGAAATAAATAATTTATTTTAACAGCTCATGGTCAAACAAAGTGTTATTGATTTACTAATATTATATTAACTAGATTTTACAGTCTATTTCGGCAGAAAATAAAAGGAGAACTCCTTAATAAAAATTAACACCCAACTTTACTTACAACAAATTTATTTTAACAGCTCATGGTCAAACAAAATGTTATTGATTTACTAATATTATATTAACTAGCTTTTACAGTCTATTTCGGCAGAAAATAAAAGGAGAACTCCGTTATAAAAATTAACACCCAACTTTACTTACAACTTTTAAGAACATATTCATTGAAGCCAATTCAAGGCCCTAAATACGATATCTCTGACGTATTTTAGTAGAGTTGATTTTTTTTATTGAGAGCAGATTTCACGTGATACTACCTAGCATCAGACCTAGGTTACCATATCGTTGCAATGTCACTAAAGTAACAGGATAGTAAATCTCTGGTTGCCGAGATTGTCTATATCCTTTCACTGTCTGGAAAAGAGCTAAGAGCTTGCAAACGGCTGAATTTTATTAAGGCCATTTTATCTATCCAAAGTGGAACCGATGCGTAACGTCTCGGTCAACATCACCATCACCTTGCACGAGAGATCTGAGCTACTGAAAGTCAGAGCAGATTGGTAAAGTTATTCCCGCAACGGTTATGATCACTAGACTAGAGAGCACGCCGAAGTCACACAACAAGTATTCTGTTTTGCTTCTGCTGACTTTTAAGCCAAAACTCTCCAGTTTTTATCGCCTTTCCTACATTTTTCTCTAGATATCCAGACCATTCTCGGCAGCTAACACTTATACAATAGTCGGCGAACAGTATGCACCAGAGCGTCTCATCTTGTATGTCCAACGTTATAGCGTCTAATATCATCAGGAAGAGGTACCTCTTCAGTGCTGAGAGTAGGCCCTTGGTACAAGCATACAACCACATTAATGCTAGTAGTTGTGCCGGCTGTGGACCAGACTTAAGTACCGTATCAACCGTACCTTTCTCTCTAAGGGCCCACCACAAAATCTTACGGGGCACCCGGTCATTTGCCTTCTCCAGGTCAATAAAGACCATGTACAAGTTCTTGTGTGCACATCTGAACTTTTTGCATAACTAGCGATTGCGAAAATGGAATCAATTGTTTCGTCCGGGTTCGACCAGACATGAATCCGTACTGGTTTTGTAAAATTTCACTCTCTACTCTTTGTTTTCGCTCAATCACATTTTCCTGAGCTTTTATTTTATGTGAAATTAGCTTTATTCCTCTATAGTTGTTGCACTCCAGCACTTCACCCTAATTTTTAATGATGAGCACCAGCGATCTGTTGCACTATTCGCCAGGTATGGCTTCTTCCTGCAACAACTTATTGAAGAATAAAGCTAACCACTTCCATCCTTCCTCTCGCAATAACTTCCATACCTCCTCTATTGATATTCCGTATTTCATCCTACCCCACCGCTATTTCGTTCTTCGTTTCATATATGTCTTCTATTGATATTCCGTATTTCATCCTACCCCACCGCTATTTCGTTCTTCGTTTCATATATGTCTCCTTTCACTTCATCCATACTTATCGTTCTTACTAATCTTATATTCTCAGTCCTTTTGTCAAACCTACCACTCCATTCATTCTTCTCATTCATAAGTCTTTTATAGTAGTTCTTTCATCTATCATTAATTTTAACATCATCTGAGAGTATCGTATCCCTCATTCTTCACGCACTTCATTCGCAAAACATCTTCGTCCTTCTTTCTCTTGGCTTAGTGAGCCGATAAAAGTGTTTTTGGCTGGCTGGTATGGATTCGACTCTATAAAAAGCTAATTTACTATGGATATAGTATGATATATTATTTGTATTTGTCTTACAATTAGTCTAATAAAGCAACAACAAAACAGATTTGTTAACCCAAAAGTATTATATACTTATAATACAAAAATAACTAACAATAAAGGAAATATACACAATTGAAATTACAAAAATACTTAATTATATATACAAAACAAATGTACACTTCATTATTACTGTATAAGTTATGTCCTCGCAGAATTGTGACAAGAATGCTAGCCGCATTCCACCGCTATTCAGCGGCAATGCGAATGGCAATGCTGATTCTTTGGGCGAAAAACGAGCCAGCTCTCTTGTCACCAGGAGAGGCGATAAGACGAGGTGTTATGTCATAATTTTAATTTTTAGAATACTAGCAGTACCCGTGGATTCGCCCGCATTCAAACTTCCGATCGCTACCATACTTCACAGGATTACCCGCTAGGCTAATTTGAAGATTGCCTGAAAATTTCATCAATATCGCTCCATTCCTTTTAGAGTCCATAGGGAACACACACAAACACACACATCGATTTTTAGTTATAATACCTATATAGATTATATTTTCAGCGCTTTTGTACCATTGCCGAAAATGGACAAAGAGCAAACTAGAGTGTTTCTCGTGAAACATTTGAAAGAAAACTGGGCGGACTTTGATATTTTAACTTATATGAGGTATACTTTTATGGTAAGTTACAATTTTCTTATTAAAATTCAACTAACATTCAATTAAAATTTACGTAATTGTTAGTATTAAACTAATAATTTTATGTAAAAAATTATAAAATGATGCCTTTATTTTCTAGAATTACAACGTACCAAATATAATTGTTGACACGTTTGGCTAAGTTTGACCCTACTTGCTGTTCCAGCGGTCGCGGGTTCGAGACCCGCTGGCTTTCTTTCTGACTGATTCTGTGTGTGATAAGCACGAATGTTTGTACTCCAATCATGGGTGTTTGTATTTATAATAATATGTATTTAAAGTTATATGTGTAGTGTATCAACTATCTGGTATCCATAACACAAGCCTCGTAGCTTACCATGGAACTAGATGGTGCTGTGCGTTAATATCCCAACATATTTTTTTTTATTATTTATTATACATTACACAAGACCCACACTCAGTAATATAGATGGAGCGTCATAAAACTAAACATGAAGTCAAACAATAATAATGTTTTAAAATATAATACAAATGAACTTTGTATACTGAGTAAAACTATAGAAGATTCAGTAGAAGTTTTTGATAGTTCTTTTTCTATTATGCAGGTACCTCAAGTGTATCTCAAATACCAACCCAAAGAGCGGATGCTGATTTCTTAACATTTTGAGAATTTTAGTTAAAAAGTAATTATTTCGACTACTAATATATGTATAACTATTCAATCCGCATCTTCAACAAGTGTCTGCCCATTATTTTGTATAATTTAATCTAAAATGTACTTTTGCTTTATTTTTACGTCTTATAAATTCCAATAACTGATAATATTAACAGTTTCAGAAAGAATTCCAAAGCGAAAGGTTTGGTTTTTCTTTCCCGCATATCATAATCAAAATGATGTTTCATTTCGCAATAATACCTATATTTATATTCTATACTCCTTTTTATGACTTATTTTCTCCCTTTAAAGAATGAAAATGTATATTTTATGTAAAAGCGAAATATCTTTCAATGAAATATCTCCGATTCCAAGTCATTTTGGATTAACATTATTAGCATTAATATTTGGAGCAGATTTTAATTAATAAAATTTGCCATGCCTTCATGGATAGTTTGAGAAGATAGTTTGAGATCCTATGAAGAACATAGGACAGTTTTTATACCAGAAATCATCCTTTAAGGGGGGGAAAATGGGGATGGAAGTTTGTATGGGAAATCAATCTAGGGACGAACCTAAGCAAAGCGAGGGTATGTCGCTAGTATCACATAAATTGTGTAATGTAATAAATTGTTGGGTTTGGGTTAATTTAAAGCTGATTTTCTTCATTTTAGAGCATTTATAAATATAAGCTTATTTTTAAAAATGTTTTTATTAATAATTCATTTTTGTAGTTTTTATTTTGTTCGTATTCTTCTCAGAAAATGCTTTCATTTGATACCTGTATCATAGGAATATTTGTGGAAATTATAAATTGCCATTTTACGGCGACCGCCATATATTGGATTTACATTGATTTACATTGACGTTGCTTATTGTGTTTCGCTCATCAAGCCCTTGATACCTATATCATAAGGGTCACTATCGTAAAGGATATGTAATCCTAAATGATTTTGAGGAGGGCGACTTCTTGTAATTATTTTTTAATATACAAGTAAATTTTAGATCAACTCTTACTAAAGAATTCAAATAAATTATAGTTAGCAGAGTACAGGATCAACTTCGAGTACAGTTTGAAAGATATATACATTATTGATTTCAATACCGTTACTATAAATGATATCACAAAACTAAATCCTGTTGTTTTAAAAGATGCTGACATTTTAGCCAGGGTAATATTTTTGTTTATTTTACAAGCTTTTCCTGCTTATTTTCGTTTCTTTTTTGCTATTTTATTATACTTTGTCCAAGCATAAAAAAATTTTCTAAGTTTTCTTTTTATATTTTAGAAAGTTTATGGAGTAAGGATAAAAGGTATCCATGTAATTAATGCTCCTGCATTTGTGGATTTATTCGTTTCTTTATACAAACAAATGGTGAGTGCAAAAGTAGCAAGCAGAATATATACTCACACTTCATACGAAACATTATATGATCATTTATCGAAAGAGATTTTGCCTGAGGACTACGGTGGTGATGCGCCAAGCGTGGAGAAATTACAAGGTAAAAAAATATATATATATCAACTAGAGAATAATATATGGTAACTTTTTCACCGTAAAAGCTGCAAAGCTATGGAATATGCTCCCCCATGATTTTCGCCACTCAAAGTCACTAAATATATTTAAACGTCGTCTAACTAATTATTTTCTGTATTGTTAGTTATTGAGTATATATGTATATACTATGTATTTATGTATCTATATGTATGTATGTATTTATGTATATGTGTACATATATATTATACATGTATGTATATATCATATTTTTGCAAATTTTTTTTTGCATATTTTAGCATATATCGTACCGTTGGTGCTCTCCAGCACGGGTGTAATTCCTAAACATTTACTTCATTCACTGAGAACAATAGACTTACCTGACACCACGTACTACATTATGCAAAAAGCAACTATTCTAAATACATGCCGTATAGTGAGAAAGTTTCTACAAAAGGAAGATGTTAATATAATAGCCTAATAATTCCAATGAAGTACTCTCGGCTCAGGCCCGCGGACTTCATTATGTACCAAAATCCTTAGGCTTTTGAAAAAGTTCAAACTTAAAAGTAATAATAAAAACTCTTTATTGTACATCCAAAAAGAAGACGAAAACATTACATTGGTAGTAATGCATGAGAGGCAGCCTTACAGCAAAACAGCGACTTCTTCCAGGCCACAGAGGTGTAGGAAATAGCAAAGTCTGAAAAACACAACAGAGTTTTAAATAAAATGGTATATACAATAAACATATGATGTATATACGTACATATGATATATATATATATATATATATATATATATATATATATATATATATATATATATATATATACGTATATAGTTTATACGTGTTTTTCCTTTAAAATACATGCGTTTGACTCGCAGCTATATGTTTATGCAAAAACGGAACTCGTATGATACTTTGTTCATCTTTCCAGTGTCATAGCCGCTTTAGTCTGAGAATATTGATGGTATGGAAATAGATATATTATATAAACCACTAAATAATGATGTAGTCAAATTATGTAAAGAGTAAAGTATGTTTCACGAGTCATATAACTTGCTAGGTTCAAAATGCTCATGCATATTTTTATGAGACTTTTAAGATAAAGTTTTTAAAGCAGTTTTTTATTTAATTGCTGACCGATACATTTTTATAATCGTCGTACTTCTTAGATGAATTCTGAAAAAAATAAGCTAATAGAACTTTCGATTCCAAGCTTTATTACTTTATTGAATGTCTTATGTCTAAATAAAATATATTTTTATTATATCTTTGAAAAATATTATGAAATGCTTACTTTAGTGCTTATCTGTGAATAAAATATATGTACGAGTATGTATATTGTTAATTTGGAAACGTTTTTTTATTTATTTGCTTAGTGCAATAAAGAATAAATACTTTACATGTGACAATGAATATAAATTTAATGTTTGGTGGCAGGGTATCCTTTATTGAAATATACTTTATTATCGATACAGAATCCGAATCTATAGTTTTTAGAATTTTTGTCTGCCTGTCTGTGTGTCTGTCTGTTACCGCATCACAGAAAAACCACTGGATTTTGATGAAATTTGGTATGGTGATAGCTGGTTATCCGGGTCAACATATAGGATACTTTTTACTAAGGGAAAATATCTCATTTCTGAGAAAAAATACAAAAACTGCAATGTAAGAGTACACTAACTGTAAAACCTAAAAATTTGATTTTTGATCATCTGAATATCTCCTCCTCTGAGAAATCTACACTAAACGTAAAAATGTACCCGAGCGGAGCGAGGGTGAGTCGCTAGTTTATAATAAAATCGGACCTGAAACTTATTTAAATATTATTCGATTCATTTTCCATCCTATTTAGAGTTAGAGTTGGTCTTACAGGCCTACTAGGATGTCGTAAGATTCTCTGAATATTATAGAGTTAGATCTTACTTTAAGAAAGTATATCTGAAGTAATAATTGTATTTTTTTTCTAGAACAATGGAGAGAGTACTTAAAGTCAGATGAAGGAAGAAAAATTGCAGAGAATTCTAACTACCTTGTGAGTGACGAATCAAGGCGTAATTGTGCTAAATTTAATGAAGAATATTTGGGAATGCCTGGGTCTTTTACGAAACTAAATGTTGATTAATTAAATAATGCAATATCTAACTAATCTTTCTATATATAAATTGGCAAATAAAAAGCAGTTCAGTAGCTTTTTCCTCCCTGTTTGTCAACTGATTTTCTTTTTTTTTATTATTTAGTAGCTATTGACGAGCTTTGGTGTCATCAATAAAAATATTGGAAATAATTATATTTTTTCATTTAGATAAATAAATTCTATTCACGAATGTTTTCTCAAATTTTAAATAATAAGTTAAAATTTCATTACCAGCACGGGGCAAGCAGTAATACTAATAATATAATATACTAGCGGCTCACCCTGGCTTCGTTCGGTTTCGCGTCTAGACAATCAAAAAAATAAAAAAATACCCTTGAGATATGAATTTAGGCTACATTTAAAAATTAAAATAGTCTAATTAAACTAATAAAACAATAAGAATAATAAGGTGAGATATCAAACCAGTAGTATCCCCATGTTTTTACATACCTTTCAGACAATTTGTATAAGTGACTAGGAATCTCGAAACACCGACTTCACTCATCATTTTCCACACGAATTTTGTCACATCTTGTATGTGCATTCCTCTAAATATACTTTGTAGGGGTTTACCTATGTAACTATTGGATGAACAATATTTAGATGATATGATAACAAGCAACTCATCAATGTCAGTTAAGAAAAAAAATGTATACTAAAACGTGATATGAGTAGCAATTTTTATCCTGGTAAATGTAAAGATTTTCCGTAGATTAAATAAAAAAATCTATAGCAGAACGCAGGCACGCAGAATGGTTTACGCAAAGTAAATACAAATAATAGTTATGACCCAACGTTCTGCAAGTTTTAGACGATGAAACCAAAGGTGCCATGGATTCTAGGCCTGAAGGGCTGCACAGAGCTTACCTTTAAAAGATTTTGATAGATTTCAGTTATTATTCTAAGCCTTCTTTTTCTAAATGATTTTTAGCAAGTGATAACGGATCTTGAGCCGAATTATTAAAATGCTCAAGTGTCTCACAGATAACTGCATATTTTGCACAAGAATCCGAAGTTTCTGTCCTTGGTCTGGATCCCAAACCATTCTGGTATAGCGAATAACGACAATACCAGAATGGTCTGGGATCCAGACCAAGGAAACCGACGAGCCCTTCTGATGACATAAGAACAAAGGTTCACGAATCCTTAAAATAATAGAACATCTTAATTTTTTACGAAACAGATTCTCCTTAATAGCCATTAAATAACTGAAAGAGTCCGTCAGTATAACTGTCTGTTTAAAGTCATGGGAGAGGATGAACAGGATTGCTTCTAGTAAAGCAACAGCCTCGCCTGTAAGCAATGATGATTCTGGAGGGTATTTAAATTGTAAGATAATTTTTGATTTTTAAGCAAAGAAAAGAATGAAAGAAAGCCAAAAAGTGTAGTATAATAAAGAAGCACAGAACTACTGTTCGTCACGTTTAAATTTTTTCCATATTTTGGGCCAGTGCTAGCCAAAATAACAATATATTATTTATTATCTCTCTTATATTTTCAAATATTTATTAAACATTATTTTTGTATGCGAAAGTTAAAACAATGATACCAAATTATATAAAAAATACTAAACAATAGGTTTATTACGTGTTGTGCTACAAACTCATTAAAACAAACATTGAAAATGCAAGTATGTCTTGAAGCTATGGTTCTGCTCCTGACCTCCATTTCTTCAGCTCAACCGTCTTTGGCGTTTTAGGTATTTTTATGGCGATTACTTCCTTTGAGTTGCTCTAAAGCTTGCTCAATGTTCTTCTCTTCAGAGAAACACAAGGAGCAATCCGCATCTCATACCTCTTAACACTCGCCAGGGCAGGCTATATACTACAGATTTTTAATGGAACAATCTAGTAAAACTATTGAACACGACTTTTGATGTCGCGGTAATAAATACACAGTTTGTATTTTAATTAAAAAGTATATGTGTGTGTATTCAGCCCTTTTTTAACATCCCACTGCTGAGCACGGGCCTTCACATGACTTTGGAAAACTTACTAGGTTTTCCCAGACATGCAGGTTTCATCACGATGGTTTCCTTCACCGTTAAGACAAGTGGTAATCATGTTGGAAATGATTCGCACATGAAAATATCAGAGGTGCGAGACCCGGGATTTGATCTCGCTTCACTCGGTTTTCCAAGCGAGCGCGTTACTACTAGTCTACCACTGCCTTAATTAAAAAGTAATCACAGCAAAATTGTAGGAACTTATTATTTTAATCTTAAAACCTTGATCGCTATCCTTATATTTTAAACTAGCTACTGTTTGGTATTTCATTTAGTATTTCGGCTGCTAAATAGTCTATTAGTATTGCATGTGCACATTTAAATGGCAGTGCGTAGCAAGGTAGCAAGGTGAGCAAGTTTTTTTGTTTAGAATTTTAAAACAAAAAATGTTAATTGTATTACATGTAGTAATTACTCGCTCAAATATTTAATTAATCGAGTCATACTTACCTACAAAATATTAATTAATTATATATTTTATATATTAAAACATACGTGTGCGGTGGGAACTTACTTGATTTCGTCTTTAGTCGTAATATAGATATACTATAAAGCAGTCAATATAACATTTTATTACTACTAATAAGGTAATAACATTTTATCGGATTTCGTTTTATATTTTTGAACCAATTGCATTATTAAATTACATTTTTCTAGTTCAATGACTTTAATATAAGCCAGTGGAGCTATTACATTTATTATTATTATATATTATAGTTAAAAGCTAAAGATGCAGCTATTAAAATTATTAAACATGTTTAGATATTTACTTTATTTTGTGTGTTTGCACTTTTAATTTGTAATGTGAGCTGAAATTAAGTTACTTTTATTGTAATTGGACTATTGTTATATAAAGTTGTGTTCGTGTGCACCTGTGTGCGTGTGTAACGGCTAAACAGATTTGAATGAAGTTTAGTATACAGCAGTGGCGAAGGGTCCATACAAGACGATTCCCAACGTCGTACCTTTTAGAAATCCAATAATCTAACATTCATTATAAATATTTATTTTTTGAATTAACATAATTAGTAAATAAAAATCTCTTTATAATTACTACATCAATTTCTAAAAATAATATAATGCAAAAAATCACAAGCAAGCATAAAGCAATGCAAAATACATTTTTGCAATCCAAATTGCTTACGTGTTTCTTCATAGAAATGCGACGATTCTTATCGTCTTCGATGTAATTTAGCTTACCGTGTTCTTACTAAATTGTATTTCATTCATACTTTTGGATTGAGCATTGTCACATGACTTCATTCATTTTTAGCATTTTATGCATGCGCACTAACCAAATTTTTGTTGCCGAAAAGCTGCTTCTCAACGTCTTCTCCTGGTTGTGATTGGTCAGATATTACAAAACGTCACACGAATCGACCAATGATGAGCGAGACGAGAAATGTTATTATTTGAATGAAATAATATAAATTAATATGGCGGTTTGTTTTTGTTTACAAGTGCATTGCTTATAAGATTTTTTGTTTTATATTTTTTTTGTTTTACCTTTCTCATACATGAGATCCCATGGTAGTAGTGACTACAATGGCGTCACATCAAGGACAAAAATTCATTATATAAAATTGTTATTATAGTATTAATCGCTTTACTCTATCTAGAATTACCATGCTCATTTCAATTTTTATGCACTTCGTTAAAAAAAACGTTATTTTTTTTAAATATTTTTAAAAATAATCTTCCATTTATTAATAATAGTTACTTCTTCGCTTTAACCATTTTATAGTATATTTTCATACTAGCTTTCACAGATTATACAAGTGTAATCTTTTTAATAACTTCGTAACTTAGTAATAATTATTATGTTTAATTTTTGCTTAGTATTGTTTATGTTTAATTATTTTTTTTACTTTTTATGTTTCCGTTTAAAGAGTTTATGCGTAATATACTCGTACAAAAATCATCTGAGGTATTTCTTGAACACATTTATGAACAATAAAATTTAAATTTACGAACATATTTGTACCATAGTATAAAATATGCATTATGTAAGTAGTACAATGCAGCAATGATTGCTGCATTGTGCAGGTAATATAACTACATATATTACCTTTAATGTCAGTTAAACTTTATTTAACTTATAAAATCATTAGCATTGCTCGCGGCTCCGCCCGCGTTCAGATGACCAAAAAGCAAATTCTTAGGTTTTACATATTAGTATACTCTTACATTGCAGTTTCTGTACTTTTTCTCAAAAATGATATATTTTCCCGCGGCAAAGAGTATCCTATATTCCTATTGACCCGGATAACCAGCTATCACCATAAAATTTCTTCAAAATCCCTCCAGTGGTTATTCTGTGATGTGGTAACAAATAGACAGACAGACAAAAATTCTAAACACTATAGATTCGGCCTCTGTATCGATAATAATGTTTATTTCAATAAGATTTTCCAAAAAATATTTAATACAGATACGGCTTAGTTACAATTTTATTATATGTATAGATTAACTGTACAAAGATGGATGTGAGCAAATTTGCTATTATCTTTTAAAGATAGATTTCTTCTAGCTAACGTACGAAAGTAAAAAATAATAATATGTGTGTACGTACACACACATACTTGCATCTATAATACTAGTGTGATAACGAAATTAATTAAGAATAAACGAATTAATACACAATTAAAAATAAACAAAATATTACATTTGAATTTGTTTTTTACAGTTGAATGTTTTTTTCTTTGTAACAATTTTTAGGGAAAAACTATGTAATATTGAGTAATAATTCATTAGAAATATTCAATATCAATATTATTTTTTGAATAGATTATATCAAAGAACATTTCGAAAAAATTACAGAAAATGGAGGCAGAAAGTTCCCGTCCTTTGCTACTAATTACACGAGAAGAAATTTTTAAAACGCGTGAATTTTATGATTTGGATGAACAAAAAATAAAAGAATTCATCGATGCAATAAAGGAATGGTGCAAAAAACAGGAACACTTGGTAGAAGCTAGTAAATATTTAAGTAAGTTTATATATTATAGTCAATGTAGATTAAACTTAAAGTGAAGTAAGTCACTAAAGAATTCATACTAATATTATAAATCTGAATGTAACTCTGTCTGTTACCTTTTCAAGTTTAAGCCACTGAACAGATTTCGATTAAAGGTAGCAAGCACATAGATTGAACCCTGGGGATGGACTACCTTTGATTCCCGGTTTAGTTACTACGCAAGCGAAGCGGGAAGCCACAGGCAAAAACTAATTAAAAATATATTTTGTAGAGCAATATTTATGTATAATTTATAATTACTTAACAAAAAGTTTAACTACCCACATATATTAATTTATAAATTTGATGTTTAAAGAATTTAATTTGATGTTTGATTTAAATTTGATTTTGAATAATAAAATTATTTATTCCCTACACGACCGCGGACACGCCGGCGTTACAATTAACAATAGATTTCTTAGAAATTTACCTGGAGGTTCATATACTTCAATTCAGTTTCCTTGGATGGCCTTAAGTTGAGGACAGGTCACTTCGCCACGTAGAATATAATGAACATACGAGGGAGATTAGTTGATAAAACAGATTATATATAAATTATACAGTTAAGTGAAATATTGTCTTTTCAGCTCATGACATAATAGAACGTCTAATCTATCAGTCCAGAGGTTCTCTTGAAGCGACTAAAACAAAAATTGACAGGCTATTTACAACAAGAGGATTGTTACCGCAAATCGTTGCCAACAAATCACCTGAAGAGTTTGAGGACTTCCTACAAAACTTGTTTGTATATGCTAATACTCCTTGAAATAAGTCATTTATTTTACTAGCTCATGGTCAAAAAAAATGTTATTGATTTAATAATATGCTAATTAGCTTTTACAATCTATTTCGGCCTAAAAATACTATAAAAAGTCTTAAATTAAAAATTTACACACAACCTATGGCATGGGAATAACATATTCATTGAGGCCATTTAATGGAGCCCTAAATACGATATATCTGCAGTATTTTAGTAAAAAGTTGAGTATTTTTCCATGTGACGCTCAACATCAGATCTAGGTCACCATATCATTGCGATGTCACTAAAGTAACGAGATATTAAATTTCGAATTGGCTATCTGTGGAGGTTATTCATATCCTTTTACCATCTGGAAAAGAGCTGATAGCTTGCAAGCGGCTAAACGGATTTTCTTGCTTTAAACGTCCTGTGGTCGGTCACATAGATGGAAATCTATCCTTAATTTTAACATCATCTGAGAGTATTTTATGCTTCATTCTTCACGCACTTCATCATCTTCGTCTTTCTTTCTCTTGACTTATTCTATCAATAATTGGTTTTGACCGGCTGGAGTACGTATGGATTCGACTCAATGCCAAGCTTAATTTTATATACCATACATAGTCTTGCTCTTAATATTTTTACAAAGAAAAAACATTTTTTCTATTGCACGTCACATTTATCACTTTTACAGTAGCTTAGTTTAATACATTAATATAAAACCATTCAAATATATTAAATAAAGCTTATTCGAAGTAGTCTCCATTGGCTGCAATACAGTCCTTTAAATGTTGAGGCCAGTTATCAATCGTATGGATTGGTTTAGGGTCTCCAAATTATCATGGCATTTAGAGCAAGCCATACTCTCTAAAACTGATCATAAATCATAATCTAGCGGATTAATGTCGGGAGTAGATGACGGTCAGTCTTCAGCTCTGATGAAGTCCGGAACGTGGGTTTCTATCCAAGATTGCGTGGATCGAGCTCTATGACCCGGCGCCGAGTCTTGCTAAAAGGACCATTCTTGGTTATTAACATGGTGTTGTTAAGTGGCTTAACTACCTTCTCAGGAATAGTATCTTGATGTAACAGTATTTATGGCCAGACTATGTATATATTTATATGTATAATTAATATATTTACATGTTAAATTATATTTGTCATAAAATTAGTCTAATGAAGCAAAAAATAGATTTGTTAACCCAAAATTGTTACATACTTATAATACACAAATAATTTAACAATGAAAGTAATATATAGATTGAAACTACAAAAATACTTTATTATACATATATACAAAACAAATGTACACTTAATTATTACTGTACAAGTCATGTCCGTGCGGAAATCCACCGCTGAATGGAAATACCGGTTCTTTGGAAGAAAAAGAGCTCTCGTCACCAGTAGAGGCGATAAGAGTGTTATGTCATAATTTAACTATTTTAGAATAATATCAGTACCCGCGGATGCGAGCGCGTTCAAACTTCCGATCGCTGGGCTAGTTTGAAGATTTCCTGAAAATTTCAATAAAATTGCTCCATCCGTTTTGGAGTCCATAGGGAACACACAGATGGCTACACCGATTCTTAGATATAATATATATATTATATTTTCAGCGCTTGTTTACCATTGCCTAAAATGGATAAAGAGCAAACTAGAGTGTGTGTCATGAAACATTTGAAAGAAGACTGGGCGAAATTTGATATTTTAACTTGTATCAGGTATTGTTTTTTGGTAAGTTCCAATTGTCTTTAATTCAACTTACATTCAATTAAAATTTACATAATTGTTAGTATTCAGTATTCTACTAATAATTTAATGTAAATAATAGTATAATCCCTGTATTTTTTAGAATTAAAACATACGTTAAATATTATACTTTCATAATTTAAAGAAAATTTTATTAAAAAAATATATAATTATCGACAAAAAAAATGGAATAAATTATTACAAAAGAAAATACTAATTCTAATAAAATCAGACAAATGCAATTTCGAAACACGGTATTCCAAATTGGTGTTTACGAGTCTACGAGCACACACCTTTTGTCCAGAGAAGAGGGCGAGGCGTTGGTTTTCACTGTCTTATACTCGTATTGTTTGTCACTGTAACTCTCTCTACTTTTGAAATACAGCTAACAACATTATACAAGGCTCAGACTAAGTAATATAGATAGAACCTCATAGAACTAAACATGAAATCAAACACTAATAATAATATAAATGAAAGTGTAATGAATAAATAAATGTTAGTTAATAAATAAAAATAGCTTTTTTTTTCTTTTCTTTATTATGATAAAATCTGTTTTATCATAATAAAGAAAAGAAAGAAGAACTCGAATAATGGAATAAGAAAATTTCCCTTATTCTTTAAATAAACTATCTGTACGGCAAAATCGAGAATAGTAGCATAAGCAGCAAATCACGCTACTATTTTTGAGTTTGTGTGAATATAAATATAGCACTTCACGTTCTATACTTAATGATATGATAAGAATCTTCTTAGCTGAGTGCTTAGTAAACATATCAATCTGCAACCGTTGAAGGATAAAAATAAAAAAATAACAAATTCAGCTCTAATTTAATATTGTAAAAACATTTTTTAAAAAGAGCTTATTTTTAGTTTTCACTTTTATATGGCAGTGGTAGCCCAGTGGTAACGCGCTCGCTTGGCAAACCGAGTGAAGCGAGTTCTAATCCCGGGTCTCGCACCACTGATATTTTCATGTGCGGTTCATTTCCAACACGATTACCACTTGTCTTTCGGTGAAGGAAATATCCAGGAGGAAACCTGCAAGTCTAAGAGAACTTAGCAAGTTTTCAAAAGACATGTGAAGTCCGCCAACGCGCACTTGGTCAGCGTGGTGAACTATGGCCTGATTCTACTCGTATTGAAGAGAGACCCGTGCCCAACGTTAAAAAAAGGCTGAATACTTTTATTTGTATTCTTCTTAGCAAAACTTTCATTTGATATCCATATCATGAGGGTGCTTAAAAACATAGTCTAGCTTTGGGAGTCCGCATATTATATTTTGAATGACGTTTAGTCAAATTTAACTTTCAGGATTTGATTACAGACAGACAGATACCGAGACAGGTAAAACTAAATAAAAGTTTGTAATGATAAAACGCCATTTTGCGGCGACCGCCATATTGGATTTAAAATGACGTCGCGTTGCTTATTGTGTTTCGTTCATCAAGCCCTTTCATTTGTTGTCAATATCATCAAGGTCACTATCGTAAAGGGTAGTCCTAAATGATTTTGAGACGGCGATATTTTTTATTAATAAATTTTAATATATAAGTAAATTTTACATCGACCTTATCTAAAGAATTTAAATAAATTTTAGTTAGTAGAGTACAGGATCACCTTCGACTACAGTTTGAAAGATATATACATTATTGATTTCAATACCGTTTCTATGAATGATATCACAAAACTAAATCTTGTTGTTTTAAGAGATGCTGACATTTTAGCCAGGGTAATAATCATTTTTAATATATATATTTTTAATTTGCAAGACTTTACTGTTTTTCTTCTTCCTTTTTGCCAACTTTATTTCTCTTTTTTTTACTTATTTAATGAATATAAACTTTTAATTAAAAAGAAATCAAATAGATATTCAAAGTTTTTTTTAAATATTTTAGACAGTTTATGAATTAAGGATAAAAAGTATTCATTTAATTAATGCTCCTTCCTATGTGGACTTATTCGTGTCTTTATCCAAAAAAGTGTTGAGTGCAAAAATAGGAAGCAGGATATTTACTCACACTTCATACGAAACAATACATGACTATGTATCGAAAGAGATTTTGCCTGAGGACTACGGTGGTGATGGGCCAAGCTTGGCGAAATTACAAGGTAAAAAATATATATTCAACTACAGAACAATATCGATATTCAAAGTTTATTAGCAATAATAAAAACTCTTTATTGTACACCCAAAAAGGAGACAAAAACAATACAATGGTAGGAAAATGCATAAAAGGCAGTCTTATCAAAAAACAACGACTTCTTCCAGGTCACCTTTAGGTGTAGGAAATAGAAAAGAAATGTGAAGTGGATGGAGTGTGAACACAAAACATAGTTATAAATAAAATGCTATATACATATGTATATACTTACATAATATAATATTATTTATAAGTGTGTACTATATAATATATATGTAATATGTATGTTTTCCTTTAAAATAGTTTGACGCACAGCTTAAATGTGTTTCATCAAAAATGGAACTCGTATAATTTCTTGTCTATCTGTCTGGTGCCCCAGCAGTTTTACTCGGAAAATATTAATGGTTTGGAGATAGATCTTCAAAGTTTGGACATGGATATATAAACCACTATATAATGATGTAGTCAAATTATGTAAATAGTAAAGGAATGCGCGTCACGCGTCAAATAACTTGCCAGATTCAAAAATGTGCATGCACATTTTTATGAGTCTTTTAAGATAGTTTTCTAAGCAGTTTTTTATATAATATGTACAATGTACATATATTTTTATAATCTTTGCCTTTCTTAGATGGTAATTCAAAAAAAATAGATAATAGAACTTCCGATTCCAAGTTTTATTAGTTTAGTTATTGTCTAATGTCTAAGTAAATTTTATTTTTTATAGTATCTTTGAGAAATATTACGAAATGCTTCCTTTTTTAAATTTAATTTAATAGGGAAATGCTTTAATTTACATTTGACAACGAATACGAATTTAATGTTTGGTGGCAGGGAAGCATCGGTGAGCCATTCAGATTCTAAATTATACTAATTCAAATAATTGTACAATATAATATATAGATCTAGTTTATAATAAAATCGGAGACGAAACTTATTTAAATATTTTTCGCCAACCCATTTAGTTTTAGAGTTGGTCTTACAGGCTCACTAGGATGACGTAAGATTCCCTAAATAATTATGGAGTTACTTATCTTACTTTAAAAAACTATATCTGAAGAAATAATTGCAATAACATTTCGTTTTTTTTTTTCTAGAGCAATGGAGAGAGTACTTAAAGTCAGATGAAGTAAGAAAAATTATAGAGACTTCTAACAACCTTAAGAGTGATGAATCAAGACGTAATTGTGCTAAATTTAATGAAGAATATTTGGGAATGCCGGGGTCTTTTACGAAACTAAATGTTGATTAATTAAATAATGCAATATTTAACTAATCTTTCTATATATAAACAGGCAAATACAAAAAAGTTCAGTACCTTTTTTTCTCTGTTACATATCTCTATTCTTCTTCCTCTGTTATATATCTGTTATAATAATAAATGAGCTTTGGTGTTATCAATAAAAAAATTGGAAATAATTATCTTTTTTTATATGGAGAGATAAATTCTATTCATATATGTTTTCCTCGTATTTTCAAATGTTTGTTAAAGTTAAATTTGCAGGACTGGGCGAACACTAATACTAATAATATTACATACTAGCATGACCCGCAGCATCACCCGCGATCAAACTACGAAAAAAAACTTATTCACAATATATACTTTATTATTTGCAACAATATTTTGAAAATTATTCGCAGTTCGTGTTTCATATTATTTCTTAAAAATATATAAAAAACAAATTTAATTTTAATCCAATCCAATATATGTATTAAAATTTTTATTTTAAGTATTCAGCAAGCTCCACTACCACTACTAGAAAAAAGTTCAAAAAATAGAGAATTCTTTGAACATTTTTCTACTCCATCTTTCCAAAGTTAGAGGAAGAGAGTACAATGACTCACATATAATGTTTACGTATTTAAAATCATGTAAATTGCTATTTAACTAGCGTCTACGTTAACTTTAAAGATCCAAACACTACGTACACCTGAAGCTTACAGTCTCCCTCCTTCCTGTCCTTCCCCTTTCTTTTAAGTTGCATATTTAATAGACTTTTGTCATGTTAACAATTTTTACCAATATAATCGAATCAAAAATAATCAAAATAAAATATTAGATCTTGTTTTGTTTAATAGTGAGAGACCACAGATTTCAATGAATAGTTCAAGTGTAGAACTATGCAATATTGATCCACTTCATCCACCTTTGCTTATTAACGTTAGCTACACTAAACTAGTGGGAAAAAAGTAAGGCACAAAGAAATATACAGTTAAATGTAACAATTGAGACTAATAGCAATTAAAACGCTAAGCTTTCAGTCCGTGCTATCACTGATGTGATGGTGGATGTCTTATATGACCACATCATAATATTAATAGATCTTTTTAAACACTTTGTTAATGATTAAAAAATTTTTTTATTTATCTTTACGTACCAAAACTCGCAATTCTGAATAGTCAAAAAGATCCGCTTTCGTTAAGTAAAATTCTGATCAAAGGAGTAAGATAAAAAGAAATAGTAAGATTAAGGCATAAAAAATATAAAAATGCGATGGATGCGGTACTATTATCATTATTAGAGAAAAGATGTAAAAGACAATCAACACAATGTTATAACGCTTATATTGAATTTAGTGAAGAGGCAATCACTTCAAACTCAAAATTTTTTTGGACTTTTTAACCGACTTTCAAAAAGGCGGAGGTTCTCAATTCGTCGGAATCTTTTTTTATGTATGTTCACCGATTACTTGAAAATGTCTGAACCGATTTGAAAATATTTTTTTTGTTTCCAACGGTATACCGGTGGAAGTATACTTCCCAGGTGGTCCATTCATAGTGCGAACTTAATGGTATGATGATGAATAAAAATAAATGTTTTCATATAACTTTTACAAAAAGCAAAACTAACATTATAACTAAACACTATTCAGATAATATGCCACTCAGCACAGTAGATACTATTAAGGATTTGGGTGTTAAATTTGACAATAAACTCACATTTATACCGCACATAGACTCTATTGTTAGCAGAGCTTCTAAAATACTGGTATTTTAATTCGCAATTTTTACCAATATAATCGAATCAAAAATTATTAAAATAAAATATTAGATCTTGTTTTGTTTAATAGTGAGAGACTACACATTTCAATGAATAGTTCAATTTTTAGGAACTCTCGTACAAAAATATATCTATACAAAACTCTGATTGTCAGTATTTTGTAATAGGGCAGAATCGTCTGGAGACACCACTATGCATGCCATTGTCTCAGAATTGAAAGAATTCAGAATTCAAATATCTGAAATAATCCCCATCTCCTGCCAGTGGTTTGATAAATTGCTTTATAAGCTTCAATTCAATAACCAAGGTAGCAGTGGCGAAGGGTGACATTTTAGCAGAGGTAAGCCGTCCAAAAAAAAAACAGACAAAACACATTGATATACAATTTTTATATATCAATGCAAAAAAAGAAGAAATGTCATTGTGAAGATATTTTTTTCTTTATAAGGCTATTGTGTTTTTTAAATACATGTAAAATATTGTAGCAAAATACATTTAACACATATTTAATAAAATAATAAATCCTCATAAAATATTAATAACGCCATCTATGAAAAATCATTACGCATCACTTAGTAAGTGACAGTACAGAAATTTTATTTTATTTTTCTTTATTATAAGTATATTACAACCTTTATTCTTTGGGATTTAAATATTCTTTTTTTTTGTTAATTTTACATAAATATATTTATTATCAACACCGCCATCTACTTACATCTCTTTGAACTCCTTCGTCTTTCTTACTGATGAGATTGATTTATTACATTTTTATAGTATTTTATTTATCAAGCCAAATTAATTGAAATTTATAAAATATTACTCAAAAAACGAACAATAAGGAGCGCAGGCTTTATTAACTATAATATCCTATAACAATATTTCCGTTTTTTAAAATGTCTGAATAACATATTTAGTATTTAGCTTAATTTGTCAAATTATATTCTTCGCGCTCGGCTGAACTACCGGACGCTAATAAGTTCCGCCACCATGTCAAGGTGAACACACGTTGGGCTTCGGGTTATGTACCATCTCTTTTTTATGTTGGTAAATGCATTTACGCATACCACATGTAGACAAACAGGCGGTTATGTGGAACTCACCGGATAGAAAAGACTGTACTACCCACTAACCCCAACAAAACCTCCCCCATCTTTCACCATGTCTTGCCACTACTATCTTCAACTTTTAACTTTTTTCATTTATTGCCAAATTCAGGTATAAATTACAGAATTAATGTGAGAAGTCTTAGTTTTATTAATTTTATAAAAAGGAAAACAGAATCCATACTTCCATACTTAATATTATAAATGTGAAAGTGTTTGTTTGTTTGTTTGTTTGTTTGTTTCTCCTTCCTTCACGTCGAAACGGAGTGATGAATTGGAGTGATTTTTTGTGTGGAGATACTTGGAGGGTTGAAGAGTGACATAGGCTACTTTTTGCCGCGGAAGATTATCTTATTCCCATGGGAAAACATGTCATAATACAATGCAAAAAAATATTTATGATCAGAATTACTTGAAACTTGGTATTAATGCTCTTCAACATAATTAATTAAATACGCATTTTTTAATTTTTCGAAATTCATCTTATATAGGGTTAAATAGGCGATGAAAATAAGTATGAAACTACCTTTATAGATATTTTTTTGTTATTTTAGCGCGAGCGAAGCCGCGGGTTCTTCTAGTACTGAATAAGTCAAATAGTTTTGTTACGCCAAATAGATACAAAAACATGAATGCAGCAAAAACTTGTTGAGATGGAATTTTTTGGTGTTTTTTTTTTTCATTTTTACTAAGTTGAAATCTCGCGCCGAAAAATCGCGTTAATTGTTCTTTAACAAATAAACTTCACACGTATTATGTGATATCCTTGCTAGTAAACTATAATATCTTGTGTACAGTAAGGCTTTGTATTGTTGCCACCAACTGGTCACTTACCGGAAAATAATTGTATCATTTATGTACATAATAACTTAATGTATTTCAAGGGTTACATGACGTGATTTTGCATATAAAGATTCTTATCTATGCTTATATATACTAATATTATAAACAGGAAGCTTTTTTTTTTGGTTGTTTGTACCGAATAGGCTCCGAAACTACTGAACCGATTTAAATTTGACCAAAACGTTCGACGGGTGATCTTCTAGCTTTTATGACGCATCTATGGGGCGAGACTATGGACAAGCATGGCGAATCGATTGCTGTTAGCCTTGACATCTCGAAAGCTTTCGATAGGGTTTGGCACCGTTCTCTTCTTTCCAAGCTTCCGGCTTACGGTCTGTCTCCTCGATTGTGCGACTGGGTGGTTGACTTCCTGCATGAGCGCAATATCCGCGTTCTCTGCGATGGGCAAGCTTCTAGCTTCCTACAAGTGAACGCCGGTGTGCCTCAGGGGTCCATTTTATCGCCAACACTCTTCCTTCTGCATATCAATGACATGTTATCCCTGGGTAATATTCATTGCTATGCAGACGATAGCACTGTCCACGGTCGATACTTTGGCCATCCAGCCGCTAATCGAATGGAGATAGATAACAGGAGAACAGAACTTGTCCTTGAGCTCGACGATGTCTTGTACCGCTTCTCAGAATGGGGTTCAAAGAACCTGGTCGAGTTCAATGCCAAGAAGACGCAGGTGTGCGCGTTCTCGGCTAAAAAATCTCCATTCCTTTGTTTTCGAGGGAAAAAAGCTGAGAGGTCTTCAGAACACTCGCCTTACTATGCAGGATGGAATCAACATCCTCGGAGTTAATATCCGCAGCGATCTGAACCAAAAACACCATATCGAGAGTGTAATTTCGTTAGCTTCGCGTAAACTCGGGGTCCTGAACAGGGTGAAGCGGTTCTTCTCGCCTGAGCAACTATGTCTACTTTACAAGACTCAAGTGCGCTCATGCGTTGAGTACTGCTCCCACCTCTGGGATGGCTCTCCAAAGTACTTGCTAGACACTCTTGATAGATTGCAACGCCGTGCTATCCACATAATCAATAAACCTGAGGCTACTCAGTACTTAGAATCTCTGCAATTGCGTAGATATGTTGCTTCTCTAGCCGCTTTTTATCGCGTTTATTACGGCGAATGTTCAGAAGAGCTCTTCCAACTTATACCCTCCTCTCCTTTCCTCTCCAAAACCACACGTGCTGGTCGGAAATTCCATCCTCACACGGTACTACCCATACCTTCTCGTACCAAAAGATCAGCTCCTACCTGTGCCGCACTATTAGGAAATGGAATTCATTACAGTCTCACGTGTTTCCCTCTTCCTATAATCCTGGGTCTTTTAAACGGAGCGTGAAAAAGCACATTTGCAGGCCGACGAGATGAGGTTGATCGGTATCGAGATCAAGTCCCGGAACCGATGGATCTCATTCTGGATTCCACTGTCGCTTACCATCAGGCGTCATGGAGTCATCTTATCGAGCGACAATAAAAAAATAAAAAAATAAAATGAGATTCGGTAAGAAGATAGTTTGAAAACGTGTAAAGGACATAGAATAGTTTTTTTCTATATATATATATTATATATATATATATTTGATATAGTGAACAATTTTCAAAAATTAGTTCGCTATAACTATGTCAAAGAAGCGTAATATAATAAAGAAGCAAAGAACTAAGTACTATTCGTATCGGGTTTATATTTTTTTATATTTTGGGCCAGTATTAGTAAAAATAACAAAATGTTACTTATTGTCTCTCTCAAATTTTCAAATATTTATCAAACATATTATTTTTATTTAAGTAAAACTTCTTTAGGCTCGCTATGAGAGAGAAAAAAAGTATTGGCGTTACGATTTTTGCATCGGAAATTGAATGATGAAATGAAAAATTTAATGATACCATATTATTATATAAACTACTAAGCAGCGTATTATGTGGTGTATTACAAACTCATTTAAAAAAAATATATTGAAAATGCAAGTAAGTATGTGTTGAAGCTATGAATCTGCTCACGACCCTCATTCCTTCAGCTCAACCGTGTTTGGCATTTTAGATATTTTTTTATGGAGGGTATTCCCTTTGAGTTGCTCTAAAGCTTATTCACTTCTCATCTCTTCAGAGAAACACTAGAAGCAACCCGCGTGTCTTACCGCTAGACACCCACCAGGGCAGACTATATGTAGACTACAGATTTTAATGGGACACTCTTGTAAAACTATTGAACCTACGACCTTTGATGTCGCGGTAATAAATACACAGTTTGTATTTTTATTAAAAAGTAATAACAGCAAAATTTTAGGAACCTTTTATTTTAATCTGAAAACCTTGATCGTTATCCTTATATTTTTAAACTAGCTACTGTCCGGTATTTCGTGTGCAAAATAGTCGATTATTATAATTGTATACAGGGTCATTTTTAAGTTACTGAAAACCTTTTGGGAATACACTATTTACAACATAACAGCAACATCTTTAAGAAAAAAAATTTAACGAAAATAAAAATATTTTTATTGCACCTTCTAAACGGTAGTAGTCCAGCATTAGCAAAAGATAGTGTGTGTCCGGTGGAGGGGGAGTGGTAGAGGCGTGTAAGAAGCCGCGCTTACTCATTTAACTTGGCCCGATGCTAGAACTTTAAAATTTAGAAGGTGCAAAAAAAAATATTTTTATTTTTGTATGAAAATAAAAATTTAAGAAATATTATTTTTTCTTGTTACACATGTTGTAATGATGTAAATAGTATATTCCCAAAATGGTTTTAGTAAATTAAAAATGACTCTGTATAACCCTCGATTTACATGACTACAAGGTGAGCAATTATATTTTTTGTTCAGAATTTTAAAACAATAACATTAACGCTATTACATCTATTATATGAGTAATTCACACAAATATTTAAATAAACAAGTCATACGTATACATACAAAATATTAACTATATATGTACATATATTTAATAATTTATGCATTAAATTATATGTACGTGAACTTGCTTGGTTTCATCTTTAGTCGTAATCTAAATAAACTATAAAGCAGTCAATATAAGGTAATAACGTTTTACGTGATTTTATTTTATATTTTTGTACCAATTACATTCTTAAACTATATTTTTTTAGTTATAATAATATATTTTTATTTATTTAATAAATGTAATAGCTAATAAAGCTATTACATTTGTTATTATAGTTTTTAAAAAAATGTCTCGTAACCCTTTTGTGTAAAGATATTATTATTATTATAATATATTATAGTTAAAAGCTAAATATTATGCAGCAATTAAAATTATTAAATATGTTTAGATATTGACTTTGTTTTGTGTGTTTAAAGTAGTTGCACTTTTTATTTTTAATGTGAGCTGAAATTAAGTTAGTTTTAGTGTAATTGGACTATCGTTATATATGATTTATATATAACTACCATTGCCCGCGGCTCCGTTCAGATGACCAAAAACCAAATTCTTAGGTTTTACATATTAGTATACTCTTATATTGCAGTGTTTGTATTTTTTCTCAGAAATTAGATATTTTTCTGCGGTAAAAAGCTATCACCATACCAAATTTCATCAAAATCACTCCAGTGGTTTTTCTGTGATGCGGTAACAGACAGACAGACAAAAATTCTAAAAACTATAGATTCGGCCTCTGTATCGATAATAATGTTTATTTCAATAAGATTATTCAAAAAATATTTAATGTACAGATTCGGCTTGGTTACAATTTTATTATATGTATACCTAGATAGATTCCAGACTATAATCATATAGTCTGGATTAACACAGTATAGTTCTGTGCCCATCCAGATCCGTTCAGCCGTGAGTTCTGGCGTGATTGAGTAACAATCATCCAAACATCCGTCTAAACTAACACATTGATAAAATATTAGTAAGATTAGAAATAATTCTAGCAATAACCTTATTTATATTATGACAAATCTCAATTTTTATGCACTTCGTTCAATATATATTTTTTAAAATCTTTTTAAAAATAGTCTTTCATTTGTTGATAGCAATTGTTCGGCTTAACCATTTTATGGAATATTTTCATTCTATCTTGCACAGATTATACCTTCGTAACTTAGTAATATTTATGCGATAGTAGATTTTATGTGTAATACACACGTATGTACAAAAAATCATCTAAAGTATTTCACGAACACATTTATCCATACATATATATTATATACTCGCTTTAAATACATATAAATAGTTATTAGCCAGCGTTAGCCATATAAATTTTAATTTTTTTCGTTAATTTTCCTGATGTTTTAATAGTTATTATCCTATTCCGGACTAAGAGAATTCCAAAAAATCAAATATCATGATAATTGGTCCAGCTGTTCTTGAATTATAAATGGTGTAACTATAAACACGACTTTGTTTTATATATGTACTAGCGGCTCACCCTCGCTTCGCTCGGGTTCGTCGCTAGGTACGTTTTAAATAGATATAAAAAGAAAAAATCTTTCTTTCTCACATTTTAATTATATGTTTTAATACTTACCTATTCCGGACTAAGAGAAATCCAAAAATTAAAATATCATAAAAATTGGAACGCGGTCGAACGGGATAAAAAGTATCCTATGTCCTTCTCCTGGCTCTAAACTACCTCCCTGCCAATTTTCAGCTAAATCGGTTCAGCCGTTCTTGAGTTATAAGCGAAGTAACTAACACGACTTTCTTTTATATATATAGATTTTACTTTATTTTATATTTTTTCTCTTTATTAAATTTTCCGTGTATGTTAAGAAACATACGACAAATTAGCTGAATTCGTTTCGTTAAGTTCTCGAGTTTTAAAAACAATATTATGTATACAATATAGACCGCAAAACAATAGTTATTATAGTAATATATTAAAAATTTTGTCTGTTTGTCGGTTCATATTATGTGCGCGTTTCACGCAAAAAGTAATGAACCGATTTCAACGAAATTTGGTGAAGTGGTAACTTATTACTCGGGTCAACATTAAGAATACCTTTTACTTCAGGAAAATCTTTTTTTCTACGGGAAATCTCAATAACTAGTATCGAGCCCTCCTTAGAAACCTTCCACTGACTAAACCTTAAAATATACATCAAAACAATGTACTAAAAATTTTCAGTTTGACACAGTCACATACACACACACGCACACGCGCACACACGGACACACGCGCACACACACTTATTTTAGAAAAAAAAAAACATTTTTTAATCTAAAATATATAGCAAAATAGTTCGAAATCTGAATGACAGAAATAAATATTGAATTAAAATAAACTATGCGTATTTTATGTAGTATCTTACATATATCTATACATATTATAATAAAACTCTAGAGTAATACTTTCTTAGATTTACGCGAATGTTTGACATTATTAAATAAAACTATAGAGGTCGAATATCTGTAAATAGAAAAAAATGCTAAAAACCTAGTCAAAGGGATGTAAGAAGAGAAACGGAACAAATCCAGATTTTTTTCAATTTTTTTGTTTCTGTGTTTGTTTATCTGTTTGTACGACCTAATCTCAGAATCTGTTGGACTAATTTAAATGAAATTTCGCTTGGTGGTACCTTATATTCCCGGTCAACATTTTAGATACTTTTCATCCCGGAAAATTAAAGGATCCCCGTGGGATAGTTAAAAAACTATAGTAACTTATTACATACAGCTTAGTACACAAAAACTACTGATTGGATTTTAGTTAAGAATTTTATGACGCTAGAAACCTTACAATAATATAATCCATGCATCGGTATAACAAATAGGCTACTTTTTATCCCGGAAAAATGTACAGTTCCCGTGAGATAGATTTGTTTTTGTTTGTCTAGAAGCGAACCCGAGCGAAGCGAGGGTGAGCCGCGAGTTATTAATATTGATCTTTATTTAAAACTATAGCCAACTCTCTCTGACTTACCATATAACATTGTTGTTAGAAATAATCAATTATATCATTTTTGTATATATATACTATATCAAAGTTCTTTTCAAACATTTTACAGAAAATGGAGGCAGAAAGATTCCATTCTTTGCTACAAGCTACACAAGAAGAAATTTTTAAAACACGTGAATTTTATAATTTGGATGAACAAAAAATAAAGGACTTTATCGATGCAATAAAGGAATGGTGCAAGAAACAGGAACACTTGGTAGAAGCTAGTAAATATCTAAGTAAGTTCTATATATAGTCAAAGTAATGGAGATTAAATTTAAATAAGTTACTAAAGAATCCATACTATAATATTACAATGTGAATGTAACTCTGTTTTATCTTTTCACGATTAAACCGCTGATCAGATTTCAATAAAATTTTGAAAGTGCATAGATTGCATCCCGGGGATGGACACATAGACTACTTTTGATTCCCGGTCTTGTTACCATGCAAGCGAAGCCGCTGGCAAAAACTAGTTTAAAATATGTTTTTAGTATAGCAATATTCATGTATAATTTTTAACTATTTACCAATAATGTAACTACCCACAAAATATTAACTTATAAATCGGACACAAGAAAAAGAAAAACGCTTAATTTTTGTTAGAAATTAGATTTTGAAAAATAAAATTATTTATTTCGTTTACTTCAATTCAGTTTAGTCTATACATATAATAATATTGTAACTAAACCGAATCTGTACATTAAATATTTTTTGGAAAATCTTATTGAAATAGACATAATTATCGATACAGAGGCCGAATGTACAGTTTTTAGAATTTTTGTCTGTCTGTCTGTCTGTTACCGCATCACAGAAAAACCACTAGAGGGATTTTGATGAAATTTGGTATGGTGATAGCTTGTTATTCGGGTCAACATATAGGATACTTTTTATCGCGGGAAAATATCTCATTTCTGAAAAAAAATGCAAAAACTACAATGTAAGAGTATACTGATATGTAAAACCTAAGAATTTGGTTTTTGGTCATCTGAACGTGAGCAAAGCTGCGGGCAATGCTAGTATTATATAATTATATAAAGAACATACAAGGGAGATTAGTAAATAAAAAAGATTATACATAAATTATATAGTTAAGTCAAGTATTCTCTTTTCAGCTCATGACATAATAGAACGTCTGATATGTCTGTCCAGAGGTTCTCTCGAAGGGACTAAAACAAAAATTGACAAGCTATTGACAATAAGAGGATTATCACCACAAATCGTTGCCAACAGATCAGTTGAGGAGTTTGACGACTACCTAGACAAATAGTTTGTATATATTAATATTACTTGAAATAAATAATTTATTTTAACAGCTCATGGTCAAACAAAATGTTATTGATTTACTAATATATTAACTAGTTTTTACAGTCTATTTTGGCAGAAAATACTAGGAAAACTTTTAAATTTAAATTTTACTCCCAATCCACACAATAACATATTCATTGAGGCCATTTCAAGGAGTCCTTTAGGAGTAGTATTTATACGATATCTCTGCAGTATTTTAGTAAAGAGTTGATATTTTTTTTATTAATAGCAGATTCGAGGTGACACTGCCTCTATGAGATCAGACCTAAATTACCATATCAATGCAATGTCACTAAAGTAACGGAATATTAAATTTTTGGTTGTCGAGGTTGTTCATATCCTTTCCGTCCGTCTGGAAAAGAGCTGAGAGTCCACAGGGATACATTCACAGAGACATAATGTGTGTATGTATTCAGCCCTTTTTAACGTCCCAATACTGGGCACGGGCCTGCCTTCAGTACGAGGGGAATCAGGCCATAGTCCACCACGCTGGCTAACTGCGGGTTGGCGGACTTCACATGTCTTTTGAAAACTTGCTAGGCTCTCTCAGACATTCAGGTTTCCTCACGATGTTTTCCTTCACCGTTAAGACAAATGGTAATCATGTTGGAAATAATTTGCACATGAAAATATCAGGGGTGCGAGACCCGGAATTTGAACTCCCTTCACTCGGTTTCCCAAGCGAGCGCGCTACCACTGGACTACCATTACTTTTAAATATAATTCATATAGATTATATTTTCAGCGCTTATATACCATTGCCTAAAATGGATAAAGAGCAAACTAGAGTGTTTGTCATAAAACATTTGAAAGAAAACTGGGCGGACTTTGATTTGTTAACTTATATGAGGTATTGTTTTTTGGTAAGTTACAATTTTCTTATTAAAATCAACTTACATAGAATTAAAATTCACATAATCGTTAGTATTCAGTATTATACTAATAAATTTATGTCATTTTAAATAATAATGTAAGGCTCAGACTAAGTACTACGAGTAATATAGACGGAGTGTCATAGAACTACAAATGAATTCAAACAATATTAGTGTTTTAAAATGTAATACAAATGACAGTAATAAGTAAATAAATTTTAATAAATAAAAATTAATTAATTCGATTAATTTTTAAAACAAAATAAATTAATTTAAATCTCGCGACAAGCTCTTATATCATATAAATGTAATATAAAAAAACAGTTGGGTTTGATTTTTCTTTTAGTTTATTTTCTCCCTTTTAGAGCATTTAAATAAAAGCTTGTTTTTAAAACCGTTGTTTATTATTAATTTATTTTTATTGTTTCGTTTTTATTGTATTCGTATTCTTCTCAGCAAACGCTTTCATTTGATATCCATATCATGAATCTTTAGTAATTTGAATAGTGATTCCTTATATTTTTAATATGATTATATTTAATTTAGGTTTATTATTTTTTTTATGTTGTATTAGAATAGGAGTTTATACTTTATTAATTTGGATATCAAATGAAAGCGTTTCATCATCATCATGATTCATGATGGTGCTTAAAAAACATAGTCCGCCATCTATGGGAATCCGCTGTATTAGATTTATAATGACGTTTAGTCAAATTTACCTTTCAAGATTTAATTACCGACAGACAGACAGACACCGGGAAAGGTGAAACCAAATAAAAATTTGTAATAATACAATGACGTCACTTTACTCATCGTATTTCACTCATCAAGCCCTCTCATTTGACTCCTATATCATAGGAATTAATGTATAAATTTTAAATCTCTATTTTGCGGCGGCCGCTATGTTGAATTTACAATGACGTCACGTTGCTTATTGTGTTTCGCTCATCAAGCCCTTTTATTTGATGTCCATGTGACCCTATCGTAATGTGTCACTATCGTAAAAGAATCCTAAATGATTGTGAGGGTGGTGATATTTTTTATAAATAAATCTATACATATAATAAAACTGTAGAGGTCGAATGTCTGTACATAGAAAAAAAAATGCCAAAAACCAAGTCAGGGGGATGTAAGAAGAGAAATGAAACAACTGCAGATGTTTTTCATTTTTTTGTTTCTCTATTTGTTTGTCCGTTTGTACGGGCTAATCTCAGAAACTGTTGGACTGATTTAAATAAAATTTTGGTTGGTGATACCTTATATCCCCGGGCAACATTTTAGATACTTTTCATCCCGGAAAGTAAAAGATCCCCGTGGGATAGTTAAAAAACTATAGTAAATTATACAGCTTAGTACACAAAAACTACTGATTGGATTTTAATGAAACTTTACAATAATATAGTTCATACATCAGAATAACAAATAGGTTACTTTTTATCTCGGAAAAATTTACGGTTCCCGTGGAATAGATTTGTTTTCGTTTGCTTAGAGGCGAACCCGAGCGAAGCGAGGGTGAGCCGCTAGTCTCTACATATAATAAAATTCTGAGTCGAATTTGTACATCAAATATTTTTTGGAAAATCTTATAGAAATAGTCATTATTATCGATACAGAGGCCGAATCTATAGTTATTAGAATTTTTCTCTGCTGTCTGGGAATGTATCACGAGAAAATCACTGGACAGATTTTGATGAAATTTGGTATGATGATAGTTGGTTATCCGGGTCAACATATAAGATACATTTTACTGCAGGAAAATATCTCCTCTGTGAGAAATCTATACTAATCTTTAAAACGGAACTAGGAACGAACCTGAGCGGAGTCGTTAGTTTTAATATATAGGTAAATTTTACATCGACCCTTTCTAAATAATTTAAATAAATTATACTCGTAGTTAACAGAGTACAGGCTTAGCTTCGACTACAGTTTAAAAGATGTATACATTCTGGATTTCAAGTCTGTTTCTATGAATGAAATAACAAAAGTAAATCCTGTTGTTTTAAGAGATGCTGACATTATAGCCAGGGTAATAATATTTTTAATATTTTTTTTTAATTTCCAAGCCTTTTTTATTTCTTGTTTTTCTTCTTCCTGTTTTACATTTTTATTTTAATTTCTTCAAGAATTACTTAATGTACATATTTAATGAATATAAACTTTTAATTAAAAAAAAATCAAATTTAAATTTTTTTTTTACATATTTCAGACTGTCTATGGATTAAGGATAAAAGGTATTCATGTAATTAATGCTCCTGCATTTGTGGATTTATTCGTGTCTATATACAAAAAAGTAGTGAGTGAAAAACTAGGAAGCAGGATATATATTCACACTTCATACGAAACAATATATGACTATGTATCGAAAGAGATTTTGCCTGAGGACTACGGTGGTGATGCGCCAAGCGTGGCGAAATTACAAGGTTAAAAATATATATCCAACTACAGAATAATATAGATATTCAAAGTTTATTTAGTTTTTAGTGCATTTAATAATAAATAATACTCGTAATAGTAATTATAAAGAACACTCTTTATTGTAAACCCAAAAAGAAGACAAAAACAATACAGTGGTAGGAAATTGCATAACAGAGTCATGATAAAAATGGTACACATATACCTACATATAGTACATAGGTGACCGAGCCTTGCTCGGAATTTTTGATCAATAGTACAATTTTCTTTTTAATTTGACTTAAAAACAAAAAAAACACTAAAAACATGAATAAATACAAAAAAAACAATAAAAAACAAAATTAAAAACTTTTTATCCGACCGGGATTTGAACATGGACACCTGTGATTGTCAATATTGCGCTTTGGCCGCTTGACCATGATGCTTATGACTGAGCGCGCAAAATTAGCCGAGCATGTTTTGTGTGGAGTAATGCGAAAGAAAACTGCATGAAAACTCGAAAACACGTGTTTTCTCAAACATATGACTAATCTAGATCGATTTATCGCCCCCGAACCTCCACAAAGAAAAAAAATATTTGAATATTAGTAAAATATAATTGTATAGGACAATGTCGCCCAATTCTTGAGTGTAATGCTTTATCCTAATTACAAAACGTATGGGATCACGTTATTTTTGCTTCTTTTTTCTTAATCGATTTACCTTGTGCTTTTTTTATAAACCTTTTGAACTCTACTTGCATACTGGGCTTTTATTTACTCCTAACCTGATCACTTTGGCATACGTTTTTGAACTTGATTCTGTTTAAATGCGAACTGGATTTTGTTTAATATGGCAGAAAATCGACCAGTGTGTGTTTTGTGCAATCGGTTATATATTAGATGTTTGTGAACCATACGCGGGTACTGACTCAGACGCAATTATATTACAAAGAATGATATGTGACGATGAAAGTACATTTTATTTGTTATTTCGGCGTAGTGACCTTTTTATACTAGATCGTGGGTTTAGAGAAGTAATAAGCGCAACATTATATAATTTATAACTTTAGTGATCCTCTTATATCTAAGTAAATTTTTACAGTATCTTTGAGAAATATTATGAAATGCTACGAGTAAGTCTTAACTGTGAATTAAATATAATATGTAAGTATCTACATAATATATTGTTGATTGGGAATTTTTTTACTTTATATTTGACAACAAATACGAATTTAAAGTATGGTGGCAGGGAAGCGGAATCGGTGAGCCATTCAGATTCCAAATTGTATTATTTTAAATAATCGTACGATATATTATGTAGATCTACTTTATAATAAAATCGGTCCCAAAACATTTTTGGCCGTCTCATTTAGTGTTAGTGTTGGTCTTACAAGCTCACTAGGATGTTGTAAGGTTCTCTGAATAATTATGGAATTACTTACATAAAGAAACTATATCTGTAGTAATAATTGTAATTACATTTTGTTTTTTATTTCTAGAACAATGGAGAGAGTACTTAAAGTCAGATGAAGGAAGAAAAGTTGTAGAGATTTCTAACAACCTTAAGAGTGACGAATCAAGGCGTAATTGTGCTAAATTTAATGAAGAATATTTGGGAATGCCGGGGTCTTTTACGAAACTAAATGTTGATTAATTAAAAGATGCAATACGTAACTAATCTTTCTTCTTTCTATATAATATAAACAGGCAAATACAAAGCAGTTGTCAGTAGTACCTTTTCCCCTCTGTTTGTCAACTGATTTTCTTTTTTTTGTTTAGTAGCTATTGACGAACTTTGGTGTTATCAATAAAAAAAATGAAAATAATTATCTTTTTTTTATATAGATAGATAAATTCTATTCATATATGTCTTCCTCAAATTTTCAATAATTTTATAAAGTTGAATTTGAGCATACTAAATACATATACGAGATAGTCTTGCCTTAAATATTGTTACAAAGAAAAAAACATTTTTTCTATTGCACGTAACATTTATTACTATTACAGTGTGTTAATTTAATACATTAATATAAAACCATTAAAAATATATAAAGCTTATTCGTAGTGGTCTCCATTGGCTGCAATCCAATCCGTTAAACGTTGAGGCCAGTTATCAATAACGGCACGCACTCTTTCCATGGCAAAATGCTTCACTGCCAATCGTTTGGATTATTTTAGGGACTCCAAATTCTCATTTCATTTAGAGCAAGCCATACTCTCTAAAACTGATCATAAATCATAATCCGGCGGATTAATATCGGGACTAGATGACGGCCAGTCTTCAGCTCTGATGAAGTCCGGAACGTGGGTTTCTAACCCAGATTGCGTGGATCGAGCTTTATGACCCGGCGCCGAGTCTTGCTGAAAGGACCATTCTTGGTTATTGAACATGGTGTTGTTAAGGAGCTTAACTACCTTCACTTCAATTCATTGTCATTGGATCAGGCCGTCACGCTGGTTAAGTGCGGATTGGCAACTTTACATGTCTTTTTTTAGTTTTCTTTAAAAAAAGTTGAAAATTAAGGTAACTTTTGGTATTTACAAATTTTCGCGATAGTCTAAATTTGCCCATATATTTTTATCGTGTTGACTTTTATACACCTAATAGGGATTATAGACTCAGTATCTGGTATAAATTTCAACCTGCTAGGTCACCCTTTCCTGAGAAAATCGCTGGTGACACACGGACAGATAGATGGCAAGAGAGAGAGAGTGATCTTATAAGGGTTCCTTTTTTTACCTTTTGAGGTACGAAACCCTAAAAGAAGTAAAATTCTTATGAGCAAAATAGTAAATATATCAATAATATTTTTGAAAAAAAATATAGCAATTTCGTAGGAGTGTTTTTGACCCATAATTCGAGATGTGTATCACTAAAATTGAATCTAGATCAGAACAAATTCATATTTTAATTAATTAAATTGTTTTCAATAGATTATTAAGTATTTGTTATGTGGGTATAAATTAATTATAGTTTATTTTGTATTTTATATTTCTAATCAGACTCAGAATTCAGCCTATGAGAGTAATAGAAAAAGTGAGTGCAATTGTTTTGGCTTAGACATTAATGTACTATATCTCTACTTATAATAAATTATGTACATGATATTATATTCATATTCAAAATTTAATTACTTTGAAGGAATATTATAAGTGATTTGCACAAAATGGCGAATTACATGTCGAAGTTTTGTTTTAAATTTAATTTAGTTATAAATAACTAAACATATTAAAATATGGTGTCGTAAGCTGCAAACATACAAGGTGGCAACGTAGACATTTCTAAAGAGCATCTATAAAATCATCAATTTTCAAAAGTCCCGGAAAACTTTCTAGCTAACCTGTTTTTTGAGCACCAAATGTATGGCAAACAATTAAATGCAATGTTTTATCATATTTTTATGCAATTCATGTATCATAACTGAAAGTTATGTACATAATAAAATTTTAGTTTACAAGAATCCCGTAATTCAATCACGCTGAGCGAGGCCTCTTTTCTATATTCATAAATTTCTCCCAACGCGAAAACCGTTAGAAACACAGAAAAACAGTTTCAGAGGAGAAAAGTACTAAAATAAAACTAGATTGTTTACTAATAATGCCTTATTTGACCAAAAATTAAAAACCGACCAAACGTGATTCACACACACCCGATTCATACTTTGCCAGACGTTTATTATTTCCTATTTTACTTTAGAATTATATTAAGTAATTAATATTAATTTCAAATACGAAAACTTCTCGAGTGGCGGCCACGTACCGGAAAGCGAATCGTGGGCAGGCCTCCCACAAAGTGGACCGGATTTGGTTATACTCGTGGAATTTTTTTTTGGGGAGGCCTATGTCCAGCAGTGGGCGTGTTTCGGCTGAAACAACGACCATCTTATGAGAACTATTAATACCATTTTATTGTAGAGAGACACCACCACGCAACTAAATCACCAACCAAAAGTTATTAAAAAGTTATTGTAAAATATATATTATAAAATTACGTTTTAATTCTAAAGAAAAGAAAACTTGTTGATACTCTATTAATTATTTTTTTATACTATAAAGGACTTTTATCTATAAAGGTAGCAATAGTGTTGTCAATATTTAAACTTTAAATAATAGCAATCTAAATTAATATTTTAACTTCTTTTAAATTATATATAAAACAATAATATTGCTTAGATAAATAATTAATATTTTAATTTTTAATATTCTTTATGGTTATACATAATTTAATAATAGCAACACTAAATAATATTAGTAGTTAATAAAAAAAACTAAAAATTGTAATATTTATAATAATAATAGCAATAATTAAATAAATAATATTGCTATATTTAATTATAATATATATTAAAAAATTTAAAATGTTTAAAAATAATAATCAACAAATATTGTTGATGATGATGATGTTCTCCTAGCCGATTCCGGCTACGGCGGCCAATCTCATTGAGATTAGCCAACTGTGCAGGAGATATTATAGTGCACAAGTGCACGCGCAGACACAAGTGCACTCTCTATTCCTACACCATTCCTATTCTGTTCTCATACACCGGTGGGACGACCACTCGACACGACCGGTGCTTTACGTGCTCTCCGAGGCACGGGGGTGAAACACCGACAACTTCCCAACTCCGGGCTGTTACTGAGGCTTACTATACAGAAAGACTCAATAACTAAACTTGGCCCGACCCGGGACTCGAACCCAGGACCTCCGGAAGTGCAGCCGTACATGCTAGCCACTACACCACAGAGGCAGTTACCTTACAAATATTGTAAGGTACTTTATTGACATTTCTGTAACAAGTATATGTTTGAGACGTCCATAACCTTAGTCTCTCCCGTGACCATGATTGCTGTAAAGCATTCGAAACGTCGGAAACCAAAAATCAAAATAAATCCGCGAAATAATCCGAAAATATAGTTATATTCTTAATAAATATTTATTAGACGATAAAATGAATAGTTTTTGAGTTTAAGGAATGGTATAACTATAAAAAGTCACTAAAAGCAAGACAAAAGAAAAAAATTATCGTACTTATATTGTCCCATCTGAAAAGATAAACAATAATTGTTTAATAATAATTATATACAAACGGAACTAAAAAGAAACGTATTATTCTAAAAATAAAAATTCATATAATTTAAATATGTTTTACATTAAAACAGATCCTTGCTTTGAGAAAAATATCTGCACACAAATTCTTGAAACTGGTAAAATAAGGTAAATGATGCATTTTGCGTACTATTCCCGTGTTTTTTAATGCACTTTAGAGACAATATAAATGACTTAACTCGGCATTTTCCACATGGATTTTGTCATATCTGTACAATGTACATTTCTCAAAATATACTTTTTAGCTATGTAACAATAATATATTGGGTGAAAAAATATCAGCTTTTAGATCATAGCAACCCCATAAATGTCCGTTAAAAAAAGTATTCCTACTAAATCGTGACACGGGTAATGGCTATTTTTATCTGGTTAAATCTAGAGGTTTTTCGTAGATTATATATTATAAAAACCAAGCAGGTTTAAACAGAGTACATAAATAATAAATAAACTTAAAGGAAGTTATCATTATAATTAAAATAGTTAATTATTTGATAGTCATATTAGGAAATGTGATATCCGTAACATGTAATCTATGCATGACACTTTATAACCACATACTACACCTATCAATGTACTCGTCATAAATTATAATGTAACTATTATGGAACCACGTCGGTTAATTAAACTATTGTGATAATTGCGTACTTATTTAAATCTATTCAAAGATAAGGCTGGAGTTGCGATCACTTTAGTAATTGTGACCAAATTACATGAACAAGCAAGATACAATAGACGACAGCAAGTAGTGCGTATAAAAACGTATTTATGTTTTATAAAAAAATATCATTACGTGCCTATTGAGTAAGAAAGTAAATATTTATGTTTATTGATTATAGACATATTTGCTATGTTTAGATACATAAAATGTGTGAATGTCATTGAGAATGTTATTGTCTTAAAATCAAAAGAGTTGAAGATCATCGTGATTGAATCACGAGTATGCAGTATCTCATTTTATAGCTTCCCGCTTTACTTCATCCCTACTTAGGATATTAAATAACCTTAAATGTATCCTCAATCTATTTATGGTCTATATTCATCATAATCTCATGAAAAACTTTCCTTTCCCCCAAAAAGGGAACTTTTTTCTTTTTCTGGATAAGAAATAGTTTTTTAATTGCTCACTAGGATTCTCTATCCGATAGTGGATATCTCGCTTAAATCATTTCGGTTGTTCTAAAGTTCAACAGATACATCAGATGAACAAAAGTGTTACAACTAGTAAGGTTTTTTAATTGTGTAAATAACCATAAAAGCTCAGTATAAGGTAGCCATTTTATAATTACAGTGACATAATTGCTTACAGATATAGAAATAATATATGTAGATATAATAAGTCTACTCTAATTTCTTGTGAATACTTTTCTTTGCCTCATTGATATTTCTCCGAATTTGTTTTACAATTATCTTCTTTGGTTTCTCGATTTAGCATCCTGCAATAGTCAGCCAACACATTTATATCTCATTTTCCTTAGTAACTCTCTCAAAATTACTGACTTCCTGGTGAAATCTTTCAACGTATTATGCAATGTAGGATTTCAAGTTTTCAGGAAAATAGTTAATGTAGGAAGTATATCATCTAGCATTCTTGAACTTGCCAGCATGTATTGTATAATCGTTTTCTAGTAATGGCCCCTAGTATTCCATTTTGTGTACTTGATAAACTCCTAAAATACAGAACTCATTAAAGGCCTCCCTTCATTACGATGTGCATCAAGCCATAGTCCACCACGCTGGCCAAATGCCGGTTGACGAACTTCATATGTCTTTCGACTTAAGAAAAGTCGTAACTGATTTGAAGTTAGAAGTTTTCTTATGTCGAGGCCAATGAAAATTCTCTCTTTTAACTTGCTCAGCTCCTAAAAGTATGAGGTCAATTTTTAAAACATCTTCTAGAAGAAATGCAAATTATAACAGCAAAAACTGCATCCAAATTTTTTTAGTAGTTTTCGAGATAAGCGCGTACATATAATTGTACAGACAGATGCTTGTCATAAACATCTTTTTAGTTATATGAGTAGGGATCATGTACAAAGACATGGCCAAAGGCATCACATTACACGTACAAGTCGAATGTGTGTGAGAGCAATTGAGTGAATTGAGTGAATGCTATTTATAAGTTATTAATTTATTTTTAGGCTTGTTGCAAAAAATGTCTCTCATGATTACCAAAAGTTCTGACATCTTCTAGCATCAAGGCACTAAGGTATTTGATCCATTAATGACTCGAAAATATTACTAAGTATAGTGCAGATATTTAGACAATTCTCGTAAGTTGTTCTTTAACAAATATACTTCAAACGTATTACGTGATATCCTTGCTAGCAAACTATAATGTCTTGTGTACACTAAGGCCTTAGTCGTTTTCTGTTGTTGCCTCCAACCGGACGCTTACAGGTAAATAATGGTATTAATTATGTACATAATAACTTAATTTATTTCAAGGATATGTGATTTTGTAGGGGTACATTTTAACTTTTAAATATTTATTTTTATAAATGGATGGCGGCATGTGTTTAAGTAAATTTTGTAGTATTTATTTATATTTTAATATATTTTTTAATTCACCCAATAAATTTTCGTAATTTCTGAACAATTTTCAAAAATATTGTAGTTGGCTTTATCTATGACAAAGAAGCGAAGAACTACTCTTCGTATCGCGTTTATACTTTTTCTACGTTTTGGGCGATTATTATTCTTTATTTTCTATTATTTTCTATTATGCTATTTTTAATTCTTTTCTATTAAAATATAAAAGTGTTAATTATAATAGTTGTAGATTTTTACTAGACCTACAAATTTTTTAGTAAACATTTTTCAATAGAACGTCACAGTAAGCCGGAAATTGAAAAAAACTATTTTTCAATGCTTTGCGTCCCTCCATTTCTCGGAGGTAGCTTTGCATAGGGGCATTTTACGAATTTCTATTCCTTATATACAACATTTTAAAATCATAAAACTTCAGGTTTTCAATAAAAAAAATCTCTTAAAATTAAACGGATTCCCATTGGTCTAACTATAATTAGAGTTCATACCTAATCATATTTGCCCATTTATATCTTAAAATATATATTGTAGGCTTGCACCGACTTCGAAAATATCTGATTAGGTGATTCTAAATGAAAACCACCGTTTACTTATTTTCTACATTTTAGTACCTGGCGGTTGTTTTTTTTTTAGTTTTTAATTTTCAAATTTTTGGTGTACATATAATAAGCAGATAATTTGTAAGAAGAAAGTTTTTTAATCATAATATTCGATTAAGTAATTGATTAAAAAAATAATAATGTTGATTTTTTAAAAAACCGCTCGACCGATTTCGATAAAATTTAAATGGGACTACCTGGGAAGTATACCCTTTGATACAAAAAAAAATTCCAAATCGGTTCAGGTGTGTTCGGATAATCGGTGAACATACATAAAAAAAGATTCCGACGAATTGAGAACCTTCTCCTTTTTGGAAGTCGGTTAAAATATCAAAAAAATAATAATAATGATGTAGATAGCCGATGCAAAGCAAAGCAAATCTATATTGATATGTATAAATTTACGAATAAATAATAAGTAAGGAAATGTAACTGCGTTAAAAAAATGAGCCAACAAAAGTCGTGTTCAAGTAGGCGGAGCTTAAAAATCGTGTCCAGCGCATCGTCTGTCGGACTTTATTCTTATAAGCGAGCACATGTCAAATTTGTCAAATTTCGCGTACGTTTAAATTTTTATCATTGTGAACTATAGATGTGAATCGTCATGCCAGCATGTTTTGTGAAGTGCTGCAGGAGCCATGCAACATTAAAATGTCCAGGAATCACTTTTCACTAGTAAGTAGTAGCAAAATTATAATTAAATTTATTAACTAGCGGCTCACCCTCGCTTCGCTCGGGTTCGTCGCTAGGTGAGTTTTAAATAGCTATAAATAGTTATTAGACAGCGTTAGCCATATAAATTATATATTTTTTTGATAAAAAAACTTTTTAACAAAAAAATAAAAACCGACTTCAAACAAAAGCACTAAAAAGTAAAAAATAACTGATTGGTAGTTTTCATTTACTATACATACCTAATCAAATATTTTCGAAGTCTGTGTGCTTTGCTTTGTATGGGCTGGCACCGATTTCGAAAATATTTGATTAGGTATGTATTTAATTGGTAGGCTTTGATTACTAACTTTTTTAATTAGGGATGACTGAGAGTGTTATAAACGTAAGAGTAGACAAATATAAATCAGAAAGCTTCGAACTGCTAAGCTATCGGGAGTTACACGTGTTATTGTGAGTCAACCATAAATGATAGACATATGCTGTCGTGGGATATTTTTTATATAATTTTAAGGAGAACATTTCCGTCATACATGATTTCTGTGTAGCTTTAACCATTAAGGTTGCACACGCGACGGAAGCTTAAAAAATGAAAAAACTTCTCCCGTTTTCCCAACATTTCCCTTCACTGCTCTGCTCCTATTGATTGTAGCGTGATGAAAAGTATACTTTAACCAGCTCAGGAGTATGAAAAATAATTGTACCAAGTTTCGTTAAAATCCGTCGAGTAGTTTTTGTTTCTATAACGGTTATACAGACAGACAGACAGACAAAAATTTTACTGATTGCATTTTGGCATCAGTATCGATCCCTAATCACCCCCTGATAGTTATTTTGGAAATATATTTCATGTACAGAATTGACCTCTCTACAGATTTATTATAAGTATAAGAAAGATATTCAAATTACTAATATTTTGTCAAACCGTGATTGCCAATACTATGCAAAATGAAGTCAATCAATTTTTGACCTAATTTAGAAAGTATTTTTTCTTCTTGATGAATAGGTGATTTTCTGCCTCTAGACCATAAAACATACTTTTCTCGGAAATAGCTAAAAAATTTAATTTAATTTTTTTATTTATCAAATGAATTTCGAATATTATATTCCCTTAGCTTCTTGAAAATCAAAAGATTATTCTAGAAATTAAAAATGAAAAACCAAGAAAAACTTGAAAACCGAGTTTTTGCAAATATCTAGAAAACTTAAACGAGGCCATTGTAGAAAGTGTTATTTATAAAAGTTGTAAAGTTTTACTAGACCTACAACTTTTGTAGAAAACATTTTTCGATAGAATGTCACAGTAAGCCAGAAATTGAAAAAAACTATTTTTCAACGCCTTGTGACCCCCCCCCCCCCCTACCTCCCTCCCCAATTTCTCGAGGGTAGCTGGGCATCGGTAGCATTTCACGAATTTCTATTCCTTATATACCTGCAAACATTTTAAAATCATAAAATTTCAGGTTTTTTAATATTGTGTTCCTAAACCGGATTCCGATTGGACTAAGTTAAAATATTATACATCTATTTGTGATGTATTTTATATATCGAAATATATTAGACTAGCATTGCCTGCGGCCCCACCCGTGTTTAGATGACAAAAAACCAAATTCTAAAGTTTTACATATTAGTATACTCTTACAATGCAGTTTTTGTATTTTTTCTCAGAAATGAGATATTTTCTCGCGGGAAAAAGTATCCTGTATGTTGACCCGGCTATCATCATACCAAATTTCATCAAAATCTGTCCAGTGGTATTCTCGTGATGCGGTAACAGACAGACAAAAATTATAAAAACTATAGATTCGGACTCTGTATCGATAATAATGTCTATTTCAATTAAATTTTCCAAAAAATATTTAATGTATAGAGTCCACTTAGTTACAATTTTATTATATGTATAGATTTGCTTGCTTTGGCTGGCACCAACTTCGAAAATATCTGATAAGGTATCTATTCTAAATGAAAACCCCCGTTTAGTAATTTTTTACATTTTAGTGCCTCGAAGTCGGTTTTTTTTTAGTTTTTATTTTTTACCTATTTTATTTCTAACTACCATTTCGTTCAGAGCCATTAAATCTCGCCAGTGTCTAATCTATTGCGTTCTATCTTGATATGAAGTTTACGGCTCGAAACAAAATTACCATGCAAATGTTTTTTTATTAGCAAATATTGTTAAATAGTGATTAAAAAAATAATATATAAAAAATAGTGATTAAAAAAAAGGTAGGTGGTGGTTAGGTAGGTACGTATTGACGGAAAGTATAGAATAGACTATATAGTATATGTATTTAATATGTATGTACATACATACATTGGTGTAGAGAAGTAGCTAAGTACATTAAATCATAAAAAAAGATATCCCTTACTTGAGAAATGATTTATTCCCCGTACAAACTTTAACCCCCCTATTCACCCTTTTAAGCATGAAAAGATGACACACAGACAGACAGAGTACCTTCGCATTTCATATTAGTATGGATATAAAAAACTGGATTTTTTGGTATTTTTAAAAATCCTTCTTGGATATTATAGCCTGGAGAAAGGTTTATTTAACCCGTATATAAATAAGGCGCGAACCGATGTACACAAATAAGATACACGCGAGCAACTCTAATTCTCTTGAGGCAGTGGTAGCCTAGTCGCTTGGCAAACCGAGTGAAACGGGTTCAAATGCCGGGTCTCGCACCTCTGATATTTTCACGTGCGAATCATTTCTAACATGATTACCACTTGCCTGACGGTGAAGGAAAACATCGTGAGTAAAACCTGCATGTCTGAGAGGACTTAGCAAGTCGTCGGAAGACATGTGAAATCAGCCAACCCGCACTTGGCCAGCGTGGTGGACTATGGCCTGATCCCCCTCGTATTGAGGCGAGTCCCGTGCCCAGCACTGGGACGTTAAAAAGGGCGGAAAACAAAGAACAACAAGAGCAAATCTAGTTTGTAATAAAATTGTATTTTAATATTCTTCTAACTTCTTTTATCTATTTTCCTTCGTCAACTTGTTCTCATCTTCTTAGTTCGTGTTTTTTTTTCATTTTTTAAATTATTTTTTATTTGCAGCATTTTAGAGTATGTCAGTTAGACATTTTAAATACATAAAATAATACACTATCTTTATCTGTTATGAAAATGATATTTTTTGCAATAGATATTTGAAAATATTTTATAAAAAAATTCTAAGTACTTTTTATAAATAAATTGTAATTAAACCTTATGATTTTATTAAATTATTGAAGTGAAAACTTCTATAGGCCGGTTTGGATGGGGAATAAATTCATGTAAGTCGTCATCGACACGGTCACGTGACGTTGTCAAAATCAGATAAATGTAAATGGTTTTAATTTACAAATTTTAATTTATGATGAAGCAATTAATTTTAATATCAATAAATAACAGCTGTTTGTTTTAAGTTTTCACTTCTGTCGGCAGTCCTCATGACTGCTTTTTATAAAAAAAAATCATATCTCAAGGTTAAAGCGGTAAAAATGGTAGTAGAACTTATATGGATTGCGTTTGTACATCAAGCACATGTTGAAACATATGTTTTGAAATAGGTTGTCATTGGGGCTATTCGCTACTCCGGCTAGAGCCATTATTAGTACACAGATTGGCAATGGTCTGGAATATCATAAAGGCTACTTTCATGGCATATGGAACCTAGGGAACCTAGGAATCTCCCCTAACGAAGCGAGTGTATATCGTTAGTATTTATATATTATGTAGACATAATATAATTTCTATTGAACACTGTCCAGTCATTCTCAAGTGCTATGCGATGAAACTTCAAAATAACTCCACATTTAGTGCACGTAATAATTCTAATTTGATTAGAATTTTTGCTATGCTACTGCTAATTTATTGCTTTATTTTTTTGTTAAGGAATTATATTTTAGGATGAATAAGGAATTAATAAAAATTAATAAAATCACTCAATAATTCTTGAACGATATGTATTGTAAACTAATGTGTTAGATGTTTGTATTATTGAACGATAAATACCAAGTAATTACTTAAGTACGCAATAGAGTAATACGAGAATAATTTATTTTATTCTACTTATTTAAATATATAAAGCTTCGTTATGTAAAGTATTTTTATAATTATTTATTAATAATTATAAAAAAACTTTTATATAGTAGTAGCCTTTGTAGATAATACATATAATAGGATAAAAGTATTACTTTTTACACGACTGCGGCGAAGCCCAAAGGAGGGTAATGTGTTTGACATGTATGTATGTATGTCCGACCCTATGTTCCCTCGTTATTACTAAACGACTAAACCGATTTCGATTATTCGTACGTCATTCGATTCGTATTGATAATGCTAGTGTCATGATAATATAGATATCATTAAAAATCAAAATGGCGGATCTAAGGTGCCAATTTGTATATCTTAAAAGAAATCCGAATCAATCTAATGAGGTATCAAAATATAGGTTTTTATTCGATTACAAAAATATACGAAACTTTTATGTTTAAAAGTAATTTACGATAAGACATTGTTAAATATAACTAAAAATGTCTAACTGACAAAGTCTAAAACGCTGCAAATAAAAAAAAATACGAAATAAAAAACTCGATTGCGTAAAAAGCGAACTAAATAGATGAAAACAAGTTCACGAAGGAATTGAGACTATTAGATTTTACAAAAGCTTTTAATACAGTAGATTTTTACATTTTACACACCATTTTAGCTTCTCTTAACTTATCTCCTGAGGTGGTTGATTGTTTTCGTTTTTATTTGTTGTTGAAAGTTAGTGATAGCATCTATAAGCGGTAACTACAAAAATAGAAGCATAGCTAAGAGCAAAATGGATGTAAAATCCTAAGCGGTGCAAAAATATACTCTCAAGCATTTTGCATTGCGCAATTGTTTAAAAATTAGTTTTTTAATGAAATTAAGTAGTTATCCGACTTAAAGTAATAAATTAGATAGACGTAGCCCGCCAAAACAAATCAAAGTCAACAATAGAAGCGTGATTTTGCTGTTTATGATTCTATTCTCGATTTTGCCATAGATATTTTACTTTCTTAAAAAAATAAGGAAATTTTTGTATAGGTTAGCTATTCTTATTTATGAACATTTATTTACTTATCAAAGTAACGAGTAGTTTATGAAAATTTATACACTATTTTAAAATATTACACATTATTGTTTGGCTTTAAGTTTAGTTCTATGATCTTTTTATATTATTATTCAGTCTGAGACCTAAGGTATGCCATTACTATTGTATGTAATGAAAAATTGTGAATACGTAAAGGAAAAATTACCTTGACAGTAACAGCAAGTACAATGTCATACCTACAAGATTAAATCTGGTTTAACAAAGGAAATAAGGTCAAGTAGAGTACGTGATTCGCACATACGTATGATTGTAAACGTGTTATTGAAGAACTAGCTGCGTACCCGTCTATCATATTATAGTACAAAAAAAATAATATATCGAAGTGAATAAGAAAAAGTGAAGATTCAATAAAAGATATAACACATCGTCATATCGCCTCTGCTGACAAGAGAGCCGGTTCGTTTTTGCACAAAAAATCGACATTGCCAATCGATCTGTGGGGCATGCAGCTAGCATTCTTGCCAGAATTCCACGCATGACTTTAACTAATGTTTTTGAACTTCGCTTTTTTGTACAAAAACAGGTAAATATAATATTATAGTAGGTATGCAATATTATTTAATTATTATTAGTTTTTTATCATTTATTCACTAGACCGTTTATCCGAAACAAACTGCAGTAAAATAATTAAAAAGGTGGTCACGGAAGGTACCCTGAAACAAAAGAATATTTAAATATATTTTACTATAAGTAATAAAAATACAACATTATAATATAAAGTTAATTTTGTTAAAATTCAACATTATAATCAAAATCAAATAAAACATAGCAAACAAGTTGAATATTGATAAAGGTTTTTCTTCCAGGTAAATTTGTAAGAAATTAATTACATTTTTAAACTTTGAATTATTGAAACAAGAGGTCTTATTATTATGATTCAATTCCTTGATATTGATAAATAAAGTTTTACTTTATAACTGTCACTTTGAATATTTACTTCATGGATATACTATTTCATTTCATTCCATTAAACAAAAGTTTTCAATAATTTGAGAATAAAGCTTGTATGAAATGTTACTCCAATCATTAAATACATAAAAGTAGGCTTTCGCTACAAAAGATCACGGAAAGTTCCTATTTGATAGATTGTAATAGTTTTGTCCTAAAATTGTGACCTAATTACTACTCCAAAATCTCGCGACAAGCTTTTATATCATATACTTAAATTGTGTAATGTAATAAATTGTTGGGTTTGATTTAATTTAAAGTTTTTTTTCTTCTTTCTAGACTATTTAAGTAAAAGCTTGTTTTAAAAACTGTTTTAACCGACTTCTAAAAAGGAGGAGGAAATCGGTAGAGGTTTTTTTAAAAATCAACATTCTTTTTTTTATAAATTGCTTAATCGAATATGTAATTAAAAACTTTCTTCTTACAAATTACCTGCTTATTACGTTTACACTAAAAATGGAAAAATAAAAACTTTAACAAAAAATAAAAACCGACTTCCAGACACTAAATTGTAAAAAATAACTAAACGGAGGTTTTCATTTAGAATAGATACTTAATCAGATATTTTCGAAGTCAGTGCCAGCCGACAATATTTTAAGATATGAATAAGCATCTAATAGGTAAATATGTATTTTACGTAACGAAATATAGTAGATTTGCTTTGCGTCGGCTGGCACCGACTTCGAAAATATCTCATTAGGCATCTATTCTAAATGAAAACCTCCGTTTAGTTATTTTATACATTTTAGTGCCTGGAAGTCGGTTTTTAATATTTTTTTTAAGTTTTTATGTCACGACTACTAGGGGACCACGAACTTCAAGGAGTGTTCATTATATATGTAAAGTCCCTTCAATGAGTGCATACGACCTTAACACTTAAAAAAGTTTAAACATTTAAAAAACAAACTTTTATTCAAATGCTCTAAAAAAAAAACAAAGAAATATAACTTCTTACGTGCGTGCATAAATACCTACACGCGTACACTTTTTTTTAATATAGATAGTTAAAGAAGAAAACTTTTTGTACTCTTTTTGTCAACTGATTTTTTTTTATTTTTTTACGAATAAAAAAAAACAATAATGATTGTGATCGAATTTCGACCACTCTGGCAACACTAGTTATTTTTTTATAGTCATACAATTACATTCTAATAACATGCTACTTGTGTAATTGAGTTTCTCGTTATCGTAAGGATCCTATTATATATATTTATATATATATGTATATGTAAATATGTCAAAGGTTTTATATAATTGCATTTGTAATAGACGTAAGTAACGATACTGGAAGCATTTAGCGTTTGAATATACCTATATAATACGAAATAATTATATGTTATTATTGTAATTTGTAAATTGTTCTCTAGTTGCAATAATTTCAACAATTTATTATATACGAATAATATAATTGAAAAATTTGGGTCGTCTATCACAATAGCTTCTTATCTTATTATCAAGTTAACCAATCTTAAGTTATAGCTTGTATGTTTAAGGATCGATTACTGCTTAGTACAAACATTTTTGGAACTCTGTGACTTATAAAAATTTTAATTTTGTATTATTTATTATGAAATATTGTTTGTGTTGTGTTGTGTTTTTCAACCGACTTCAAAAAGGAGGAGGTTCTCAATTCGACTGTATGTTTTTTTTTTATGTTTGTTACCTCAGAACTCCGTCATTTATGAACCGATTTGGACAATTTTTGATTTGTTTGAAAGGGTATACTTCCAGATTGGTCCCATTTAAATTTCAAAAAAAAATACCACCCCTAAGGGTGGAAAAACAACTAATCATGAATTTAACCTACTTCTAATTGTCATATTGACTTGAAACTTTGTAAGTATTTCTATTTCCGTTGATAGTACAGTGGTTCGGTGTTGTTGTCTGATCTGATGGCAAGGCCAGAAGGTGGATAGGTGGAACTCTTCAACGGCTAATAGTAGATACTTTGAGTTTGGGCTTATTTTATTTGATCTGACAAGCCACGTTTTAACACGTTAGAATCCTTACTTTGCTACTTAACTGTCTACACTAAAAAGGGAAAAATAAAAACTTTTTAACAAAAAAATAAAAACCGACTTCAAACAAAAGCACTAAAAAGTAAAAAATAACTGATTGGTAGTTTTCATTTACTATACATACCTAATCAAATATTTTCGAAGTCGGTGTGCTTTGGCTAAGTAATTAAAGCCTACCTATTAAATACATACCTAATCAAATATATTCGAAATCGGTGCCAGCCCATACAAAGCAAAGTACACCGACTTCGAAAATATTTGATTAGGTATGTATAGTAAATGAAAACTACCAATCAGTTATTTTTTACTTTTTAGTGCTTTTGTTTGAAGTCGGTTTTTATTTTTTTGTTAAAAAGTTTTTTGTTCGAACTAGAGGAAGACTCATGACCTACCGTAGAAAATGTAATAATTTAATGCTGAATATTTTGTTTTGAATTTGAATTAAACTTGAATTATTTTTCTAGGATATAGGAAGATGGAAACTATAACGCATCATCCACTTTTAATTGTGACGCCAGAAGAAATGAAGAAAGTTCGACAGTTCTTCAATTTAGACGATGTGTACAGAATACGAGAGAGCTTGGAGGCGATTGAAGAGTGGTGCAAGAAACAAGATCATCTGGTCACAGCTTTCCAATACTTAAGTAAGTTTCATATTGATAGACAAACTAGACATGGTTTTTGGCCAAAAATGGTAAAAACATCTGACTACTATTACATGCGTGTGTCAGAATAATCGCTTTTCCGAAGTTCAATTGTGTATTACTACGAGTATAACATATTTATAAATTATGACCCACTAGCGACTCACCCTCGCTTCGCTCGGGTTCGTCCCTGGGTACGTTTTGACGGTTAGTATGAAATACAAATCTTTTAATTTCTCGTCTTTTCTGTACTATTATATGTATGTACTATACATATAAACCTTCCTCTTGAATCAGTCTATCTATTAAAAAAATACATACATGTATACATTGGGACAGACAGACAGCTTGAAGCGACTTTGTTTTATATTATGTAGTGATATGTTACTCTGATATAACATATATTATATAATTCATATAATATAAACACTACTGATATTGTATAGTTTCGTCGCAATCTGTTCAGTAGTTTTTGTGTGAAAGAATAAAAATTAATTAAAGAAAACAACTTCTAAAATACACAAATTAATACAAAATTAATAAATCACAAAAGAGTAAAAAAAATATTTTTTCTATATCTATTTTTAATATTTTGAATTATTGACAATAAAATTATTTTGCTAGTTTACACTTTCAAGCAACTTCTTGCTCGTAAATCGGCCAAAAGACTTTGGAGTCCATTCTTACAAACTTTCGCGTTTATAATATTAGTGGGATAAAAATAGAAGTAATACTAAGTATTTAAATTTTTAGATTTAAGATGGTTTTTATTAAGTTTTATAAATGTTTTCGTATTACCGTTTAATATGTGTTTTGTTGTATTGAAATAGTGTCAAACAATGTTTTTTTACATACTTTGGACTCTTAAAAATTTAATTTAAAGCTGATTCTTCTTAAAACTATTGTATAAAGAAATTAAATGTATTAAGTAAAAAAAAATACTGTTTATTGAAGATAAATAAAGATTAATCATCTATACTAATATTATAAAGATGTAAAGTTTGTGAGTTTGTGACGTTGTAGGGGGTAATCTCTGGATCAACTGAACCGATTCAAATGAAATTTGGTAAGAAGATAGTTTGAGACCCTGAGAAGGATATAGGATACTTTTTACCCCGGAAATCATCCCTAAAAGGGGGTAAAAATGGGTATGAAAGTTTGTATGGGGAATCAACCTAGAGACGAACCCGAGCGAAGCGAGGGTGAGTCGCTAATACATCAATAAAGAGAAAATGAAAATTGTTGTTTTGGTAAAATCCCAAAGAATCAAATGTTTTATTAATGTTATAAAAAAATATTACATTTTCAGATCGAAGCATGTTAGAACGTTTGCTCCTTTTATCAAGGGGCTCCACTGAAGGCACTAAAACTAAAATTGATAAGTTATTTACAATGAGAGCGATGATGCCAGAGATATGTTTAAATAAAACGATTGAAGAATTTGAGCATTTTTCCGATTGTATGTAAGTATTTTCTTATATTAAACTATTGTACCCGTCGAATTTTGCTCAAAAGGCATTATTGTAACCGTTTCTTAAAACGATTTGGCGTATGTGGAGACCGGAGACCCTCGTAACTTTGGTGCTAACTACTTAGATCTAAAATTTTTGTGTTTCCACTTCATGCACTCCGGGCGATTACCGTGATATACTTTAATCAAACATCTTTCAATAGAATATGCCAGTGAAGTTTCTTTAAAAACATCATATTCAAGTTTGAAAATTTAATGATAGTCTATTTTATTAAAACGACAACTCCATGTTACATTTTGAAAACGAAATTTAATCAATGCGAAAATATATAAATTCTACAATTTGGCTATAATGGTATAGTAAAATAATATATCAAAAATATAAAAGAATTATTAAAATATCTAAACAAATGAAAGAGTTAAATAGGTAAATCTCGCGACAAGCGTTTTATGCCAATAAATGGTGTAAGGTAATAAATTCTTGGGTTTGATTTAATTTAAAGTTTATTTTATTCTTATTAGAGCATTTAAATAAAAACTTGTTTTTAAAAATATTTTGTTACAATTATTTTTTTTAATTTATTTTTAGTGATTTGTATTTTTCTCAGCAAACCCTTTCATTTGATATCCATATCATGGGAGTGCATAAAAATCATAGTTCGCATTCTTTGGGTGTCACTTTACTTACTGTGCTTGGCTCATCAAGCCCTTTCATTCGATGCCCTTGTATAAGGGTCACTATGGAAATGATAAATCGCCATTTTGTAACGTCCGTCTTATTAAATTAAAATTGGTGGCATTTAAGTATTCGGGCATTGTATCGGGGACCAAACTAATGTGCCTCAGCTCAATCGGACACTGGGAAGTAGGTCAAATTTAACTTGAAAGATTCCATTACACACCCCGGGCAGGTGAAACTAAATAAAAGCTTGTGATAATATTATACTAGAATGTTGCAGAATATCGTAATTATATGTAATACCAAAGAATATCTAAATCGATCCAGTATTTTTCGAGCTATGAACGTACAGATATAATAGACAGGTATAAATAATAATAATAGAGTGGGAAAGAGAGAGAGAGAGGAACATTATGTGATTGTGCGAGGAAGATTTAAGATATAAGACTCCTGATAGTATTTTTAAGCAAATTATCACATTATAGTTCAAAATTCTAACGTATACCTGTATAGTTGAGTTCAGAGAAGAAACCCTAAAAGAAGAAAATAAAATTACGTTAAATCTATCAATAATTTTATTATATTGCACAATTTATATAATATAAAAGCTTGTCGCGAGTTTTACCTGTGTAAACTTGATTTTGACATTAGTAATTGTAAGAAAAAAAAAATACATACCTATATATTTTTTTTATAAAACAAGTAAACATCGCGACAATTTTATGTTATATAAATTGTGTAATGTAATAAATAGGTGAATATGATTTAATTTCAAGTTTTTATTTAGAGCATTTAAATGAAGGCTTGTTTTTTAAATTTTTTTTTTTACTATAAATTAATTTATACATTACAATTAATTTTTATATACATAGATAGGTAAATTCACATATTTTTTCCTCAAATTTTTATTTTTCATTATGGCCCGATTACGCCCACTGGGTGAACACTAAGTTCATAAAATAAATAAATAATAAATCTTGGGACATTAACACACAGCGCCATCTAGTACTATGGTAAGCTACGAGGCTTGCGTTATGGATACCAGATAGTTGATATACTACACATACATACATATTATAAATATAAACACCCATGACTGGAGTAAAAACATTCGTGCTCATCACACAAATGAATGCCCCCAGCGGGACTCGAACCCGCGACAGCTGGCACAGCAAGTAGGATCACTACCAACTGAGCCAAACGTGTCGTCGTAAGTTTTATTTCAAGACATTAAGTATAAAAAGTAAATGATATTTTTACAGCCTATATGTACCATTACCTAATCTGTGTCCAAGTGATCAGTCGAGGGTCACGGTAACGCAACCTCTGGCCGGAAAATTGGATGAATTTAATGTACTGTCTTATATAAGATATTGCTTTCTGGTAAGTAAAAAAAGAATCATTATTTTACATTGATATTATATCCTTGAACTAGCGACTTACCCTCGCTTTGCTTGGGTGCACCTAGAGGTACGCGGATTTCGTTCATAATTTCATGGAGTTTGTTTTTGCGCGGAGTCTTTCTGTATAGTAAGCCTCAGTAACAGCCCGGAGTTGGGAAGTTGGCGGTGTTTCACCCCCGTGTCTCGGAGAGCACGTAAAGCCGTCGGTCCTGCGTCTTAACTCTCACCGGTCGTATCGAACAGTCGTCACACCGGAGTATGAGAGTGACAGGAATAGAGAGTGCACTTGTGTCTGCGTGTACACTTGTGTACTATAATATCTCCTGCGCAGTTGGCTAGTCTCAATGAGATTGGCCGCCGTAGCCGGAATCGGCTAGGAGAACATCATTTTTCTTAAATAAAAGTAGACTAAGTTACTCCTTTCGCTTTAAAAGCAAAAAAATCGGCTTACACATGAACGCATCCGAAACTAAATTTATGTGAAACAGTCAAAAGAAAACAATCAAAGTAGAGGATAAACCGATAAAATATACAAATGAATATGTGTACCTAGATAAATTGGTGTTCTTTGATCATTGATGCAGATAGCAATGAAAACGAAATAGACAGACGAAAAAGTACAACTTGGAAGAAATACTGGGCCCATAAAGAAATTATAAAAGGGAACTATAGCCTTAATATAAAAAAAGACATTAATGGATTCTTGCATTCTCCCAAGCTTAACTTACGCTAGCCAGACATGGGTCTTCATTGAAATAGTAAAAAACAAAATTACATCTTGTCAACATGCAATGGAACGAAGTATACTGAAACTAAGAAAATACAAAAAACGAGAAACGCAGACATCCGCATGAAAACTAAATTAACAGATGCTCTTCATTTTAGTTTAAAACAGAAGTGGAGCTGGGCAGGGCACTTGTGGAGATACAAAGGTAAGAGATGGACCTATCAAACAACTAAATAGCAGGGCCCAAAAGGTAAAAGAAAAATGGGAAGACAGAAGAAAAGATGGGCCAATGATATAATAAACATATCAGGAAAAAACTGGATGCATAAGGCCAAAGACAGGGAAAGATGGAAAAGAATGGAGGAGGCTTTTACCCACCAAAGAAATCACCAAAGAAATGGAAAAGGAAATAATTATAAATGGATGTATATTAGAAAATTGTTTTGTGGAAAATAAAGCTTTAATAATAATAATAAGTTACTCCTTATAACATCAGCTATGTACGAATGAAAGTCGCGTCAAAATCGGTCCAGCCGTTTCGGATATTAGCCGGAACAAATAAATAGTCAAACACATTTTTAATAATTGTATTTGCCTATTAGTATCTACCGATTACCGTATAATATGATATATTTAGTAAAAAGGTGTTATTTTGACATTACAAACAGACACTTCAATTTTAGTAATTTATAGATAGACTAGTAGCCCATTAGTAATAAGTTCGTTTAGAAACCCAAGTAAACCGGGTTTTACCCCGGCTCTCGCACCTTTTAGATTTTCATGTATAAATCATTTTAAGCATGAATATTACCTCATACTAATACCGTGAAAGAAAACATCACGAGGACACCTGCATGTCTCAGAGAACTTAACTAGATTTCGATAGGCATGTGAAGTGAGCAAACTCTCATTTGGTCAGTGTAGTAGGTCCTATGACCTAATCCACTCATATCCAGGGGAGGCCCGTGCCCAGCAGTAGGACGTTAAATAGGCCAAATTATAAATCTTTAGTAATCTAGCACTTTTCATTTAGATTCTGGTAATGTTTAGTTTATAAAGAATTATTTTTGTATTTTATACACCTTAAACACATTTATTATACAATAATTATAATTATTATATGTTAAACGCAATTGCGAATATGATGAATAATCAGTTATTCGGATTCTCACAGTTTTGTTATTTATTATCTTCTCCGTTTTCTTTTTTGCCTGGAGCTGCGGGCTTAGTGGAAATGGCATTTATCTAAAATAAAAATAGTTATTAGTAATTTAAAAATATTAATATTCTAAAATAGAAATAATTAATATACATACATAATATGCTTATAATAAATTGTATAAATTTTAATTTCGTTTCATTTCATTCATACATTTATTATTATGATTATTAAACATAACGCCTAAATATATTAAATCCATTCATATTTTTAGATTTCAATTAGCTAAAACGATCGTAGGTTGTTGTTTTTTCTAAGCCCACAGTATTATATTGAAAATATATATTTTTTATGAAAAATATAGAATACATATTCTAATTTCTAGATATAATACGTAGGCTAATAGATTGTGAATAAAATTTAATATGTGGGTTTAACTTCAATGGTATTATTCAAGTCAATTAATTTTAATTACGCATCGAAAAGATATCAGTACGATAATAAGAGTGATCGTTAAAAAATATTTTTCTTTTTCGACGCCCCTGAAAAGCTTCCTTTTCATGAAAAAACTCGAGGATTTTTTTTAATGATTGGTTATCATCACGACGATATTATACGACGACATAAGACGATCTAAGTCCATATTTTGGAAAAATCATGTTTTTTTTAGAAATATGTATGTATGCAATTATAATATTTTTTTGATATTTGTATATTTTTAGCAATGATACATTAATATAGGCATTATTTTCATCAATGAACTAATTTCGCAACCAATTAAATTGAATGTCTTGCGACATATTATGTTGTTTTTAATTTAAAAAATGCACGGGTTTTTTATCAAAAGGAAGTTTTATAGGGGACGTCGGAATTTTTTTTTTGACGACCAGTCTTATATATATATATATATATATATATATATATATATATATATATATATATATATATGTGTGTATATATATATATATATATATACTAAAATAGTAATAAAGCGAAGTAAAGTAATAGACCCTAAATATTAGGGTCTATATTCTGTACTGTCTGTAATTTTCATTATGAAAATTTGTAGGTAACTTTAAAAACGGCAACTAAAATGAAAATCTGTAGAAGAAGCAAAACTTTTGCTCGAGATTGATAAAAGGATGCATATAAACCGTCAGATTGTTAACTCTGTAGAGTTAATCTTTTTTGTCAATTCGATTGGGGCAGTGGTAGCACTTACACTTTTCTTACGGTGAAGGAAAACATCGTGAGGAAACCTGCATATTTGAGAGAACCTAGCAAGTTTTCGAAGTGAATTCCGCCAACTTGAACTTGGTCAGCATGGTGGATTATGGCCTGATCCCCCTTGTAGTAAAGAGACGCTGGTCAGTGGGACGTTAAAAATGGCTGAATAATATAATAAAAACACAATTAAATAGTAGTACACCAATACTTTATTCTCTTAAGTTTATATAATTCATATTTTTCAGATTGGAGAGTACAGATTGTCTTACGATTACTGTATATCAGAAAGATTTATATTGGACCTACAAAATATTAATATGAATTTTCTCACTAAGCTCAATCCAATTATATTAAAAAAGGGAGAAATTATATGTACAGTAAGTTTTTTTACATATCTGTTTGAACTAACATTGTAACTCAGTTTAGTAGCAATTTTGAACATTTATCAAATGAGAAATAAGTTTTTTTTTTTATTTTCTCGATATTCTTTTACAATATTGTTCGTTGCAGGAAAGCTAAAATTATAACGCCATAATATTTACAACATATTTTAATAATATTATTATTTTATATTTGGAAGATGTTTGGGATGAAGGAGAAGCCCATCACATTTCCTTATAACTACCTATATGTTTATATAGTTTATGACCTATTGTCTGTTTTTTTATGTACGTAATAACTAGACGTAGTTTAAAGCCATTTTTCTGATTTTTATACAATAATTGATAATTTTAATAAAAAATAAAGTTAAATTTTAATTTAAACAAGCTTACGTAGCTTGATTAAATTAAAATTTTGTTCATGTTTAGTAATTATGGATTAAATAGAAACGCAGCTTCTCAATTTCGTTGTAATTTTTTTTGCGTGATTATATTTCTAGATATCAGTGTCAATTATTTCTGTAATAAGGTCATACCTCTATGGTGGTCCTATATAAACTTCAAAATAGAAAACAAAAAATCCCTGAGTGTGGAATAATAAAATTACAAAAAAAACTTTATTTTTTTAGTTAAGAACTAATATCCATTAATTTCAGGAAGCTTATGGTACTAAAATTAAAGGAATCCATATCATAAATGCGCCATCATTTGTAGACAAATTTGTTTTTGTACTTAAACAAGGGCTCAAGGAAAAGGTTGCGAGTAGACTATACGTACACAACTCTTATGAAGATCTACATAAAGAGATTCCCAAACAAATTCTACCTAAGGAGTATGGTGGCGATGGGCCAAGCTGTGAGAAATTAGCTGGTAAATTTAATTTGTCACTCTTCATACCTACGAATAATAAATGTTGACTGGAAATCGAATTTCGACAAATCTAAACAATATTATGGATATAACAACAATATAATATTATGGATTACTAGAAAGTTGATACACTATACATATATAACTTTAAATATATACATATTATAAATATAAAAACCCTGATTGGAGTACAAACATTCGTACTCGTCAGACAAATGACTCAACGGGACTCGAAACCGCGACCGCACACAGCACAGCAAGTAAAAGTAAACTAGCTTCACAGTAAGCGAATTCCAAAAATTACTTTTAAGAAAACAATAATTAATCTCAAACTTTATACGTAAATATATTAATGTATAACATGAAAAAATATTAATACTTAGAATATTTATATTAAATAATTGTAAATTTATAAAATATAATACAAGTATAATTTATAAATGAAAGTGATTTGTTTTTGCTCCTTTTAGATACAATTTCCGAATAATTTCAGAGATCACCACATTACAAACCCACATGCAAACTTACAAACTTTACCTCTTTAGAATATTAGTCTTCATTTTTAGCTTATACCTAGTCCTTTACTTTGTATTTTCTTACCTAGCAACCGTAAGGAGCAATATCACTTGATTAACAAATATAGCTCAGCAAAAATTGAAAGCAAATATGAATGAACTCGTTCTGACGGCTAGTCAATTATTATTAATAAAATTGATTCCTTTTTTTCTTATTTCTTATTTGCAGATCAATGGAAAGATTGTCTCAAATCAAAAGAAGCTAGAAGAGTTATAGACGAGTGCAATAAACTTGTAGCAGATGAGTCAAAGCGGAGTGAAATGAAGTTTAACGAAGAGTATTTAGGAATGCCCGGTTCATTTAGAAAACTGACTGTAGATTAAGTTAAAAGGAGTGTTTTGTAAATGTAATTGAGTAATGCGTTTTGGTAAAGGTCTACATAATAAAAGCAAATGATATTTATTAGATACAATTGATATATTTTGAATTAGCGAAGTTTAATTTGTGACTCCCTTACATGTATAGCCAAAATATCAACATATTATCCATTTTAATTAATTAATGTACGAGTATTTAATAGTCGAGGATAAATATCGTTAGAACCGTTTTTACTTTTTATTCTTTTGAAGAAAAATGTCTACTTTTAATTTTAAATAACTTATTATTTTATCATAAGAACTAAAGTATTCTTAGCTTTTAGAAAAAAAATCTGTGCTAGACAAACATGATAAATGAAACAAGGCAATATTCAGTAGGTAGTAGTTCAAAATAGTTGATAAATCCTTTTGTTGTTCTAAAGGTAGGATTTTTGCTTAAGCGTTTTATTTCCGCGTTCAATTCCCATTCGTGTAAAAAAGTAAAAACAGACTATCTCTTCTACTTAATAGTATTGATAAATTTAGTTTACACAAAAAAAAACTACCACCCCCATATAATTTTTATAGGGGTGACACGTACAGGTGACACTGGTCAATAATTGAAGTGCTTATATGTACAGTTACCCCTTCGTTTCTGTAGAAGTAAAACATTAGTTTTTTTACAAGATTTTTTTATTTATTTAAGGTGCTACCGCATAGAAAACTAGAGTCTTCTATGTGCACATATACACGAAAACGTTCAAGCAGTCGCGACTATGCGATATAGAAGATAGGTGTAGTCGAAAGTCTTAACCCAAGGCCTGTTAACCTAGTAATTTGGTTATGAGCGTAGTGGTGAGTACTCATTTGTTGTAAGATTAAGTAGAATATCTCGTTTTGTTTGGTGAAGACAGTTTCTAATACTGTTAGATCTTGATTTATATTAGGTATGGCATTTTCTGTGGTCACTTTGTGTGGCATGTTTCTAGTAGCTTTGGCGTAAGAGAATGGTTCGTTTTTTTCAATGGTGATTGTTAAGCAAAATTTTTTTGAGGATTTGTATCTCGAATCTTGTTGTCTCTTGCAATAGCACATCTATCAGCTCTTTGATGATCGTATTTTTTAACTTTTCTAGCAAGTATTTCTCTGTACACCTCACAACCGTTGTAGTTTGCCGGATGGGAGCCTGCAGCACAGTGCACATTGGGCTGACGTATTTCTGTCGCACTTTGGACAGTCTGAGGTTTTATGTACTTGTTTCATGCAGTAATTTTTGGTGTGCCCATATTGCTGACACCGTAGTCACTGTACGATTGATTTTTCTTCTTGGGATCCTATATGCTTACAGGTTAATGGTAGATGTATTTGATTTCTTTAGCTTCCTCATTTTTCTGGCTAGGTAGGAGATTTACAAAGAATGTTGAGGTAGGTTATTTCTCTGGGCGAGCCAGCATGTTGCAGCGAATCGAGAGTGACCGTCTTTCTTGCTCTATGTCCAGATCATCCTTAAGATCTTCAGAAATAATATGACCAAGGTTCTTGAAACTCTTAACGACCTTCATGACACTACCATCACTCCATTTTAGCTCAGAAATATTCTCCGGTCCCCTATCTGCTTTTAAAACCTCCATAAAAGTTTTATTAGTATTGTATCTTAGTCCATGTGCATTGGCATAGTGCTAAAAGATCCTTAGCAGAGATCTTAAACCTTTGATTTAAAGGCTAGGAAGTACCATATCGTTGGCATAGCTAAGGTAACTTTATGTTACTTTTCAAACAGGAAACTCACTTACAGAACTTTTACGCAACTTTCGTACAATATCACGAAGAATTTTTAGGTATATTATAATTTCCCTAAGCACATTCAGTGCAATTTCTGAGGGTAGGAGTGAAACGCAACACACGTCAATTCGCAATCAGCTGATTTATTTAAATTTAAATTTGAAAACTAAGTTATATATTTACACTATTTTAACATAATATGTGCATGTGAGTACTTATTTACCCACCAGCAAGAATACTCCTCGTACTTATTCACTTAAATCAACATTTAATACATCTATAACTATGGAATCCATCAAGGAGTCTTTGTCTACACTGACTGATATGTTTAACGCCCGGATGAATGAATTTCAGCAAGACTTGCATAAAACTTCGTCATCTGTTTCATCTAGCGCCCTGCCAACTGAATTTAATAACTTCAGGAGCTTCATTGTTTCCGTGCTAAACACTTTGCAACGTCAAGTTGAATATCAAGATATTAAAGCAAGCTTTAGAGGTTGACCGGCATGAAATGAGAAGAAGGCGTAAGATGATTCTTTTCCACGGTGTCCCAGAGATTAAAAATGAAGATAGTGCAGCCAGAATCACAAGTTTGATCGCTGACCACCTCGATCTGCAGAACTTTTCTACCGAAAGCATTAAAGACTCTTATCGCTTAGGCCGCCCCGCCGACAAGCCTAGGCCTATCGTAGTGAAATTTAGTGATGTTAATGTGCGTAATAAAGTGTGGTTCGCCAAAACCAAACTCAAAGGCACTGGTTTCACCCAGTCGGAGTTCCTCACGAAGAGTAGGCACGAAGCGTTTTTGGAGGCAAGACAGCGTTTTGGTGTCACCAAGTGCTGGACTCGGGATGGGTACATCCACATTATAGCCCCGGATGGGTCTCGGCATCGTGTGGAGTGTAAACTGGATTTAAGTGTAATTCCGAGCAATCCAGTTAAATCACCGCAGAACGTATCAGTTCCCAAAACAACAGACAAAGTGGTGGCTTCTCGCGTTAAACGAATAGTCAAAAAATAGTTAAAATTATTTTATTTTCCTTTTGTTTCATACGTTTAACTTTTATGTTTTAGGTATTAGGCCATATTAAATATTTAATATTGTTTACGCACTACAATTACTTTATGGTATAGACAATAGTGTGACAAATTATATGAACAAAGTGTAACGTAGATAATATTTTATTGCTTATGGAATTTTAAGTTCTGTACACACGATACAAATCGGTCAAATATCAACTTTTTTTTGTCATTGTTTATAAAAAAAATTTTTTTTTGGGTTTTGTTTAGTTTTATTGTTTGAGTTTATTTGTTTATTTTAGTAATTTAGTTTATATATTCATCTTAATGCCTATTACCTAATTTATTTAATTTATTTTGTTTTTCTTCTGTATTTCATGTTTGTTTTTTTTACGTTGTGAAATTTTTCTTCTTTCTTGCAACTGGCGGGTGAGTAGTATTTACTTGTTACTTATATTATTTTTATTTTATTATTATCTTTACATAAGAAGTTATTGAATTATTATAATATTTTATTTTTATTTTGTATATTTATCTAGTTTTAAAACTATACATATATATTTTATTTATTTTATCTTAATTTAATATTATCATAACATACATATATTATGAGTTCGAATGATATTAGCCTAAATAATTCCTTCTTATCCTGCACTACATCTGAAGGCGATAGCAGCAACGATAGTTTTCACAGTATCCTTTCACTTGGCGAGACTCTCGATTTATATTTCTCAGATGTTCTGAAAAATTTTAATCTGGTTCGCATAAATGCTCAGAGTATTCCAGCGCACTATCCTGATATGTTGTCATCTTTTACAAGTAAAAACATTCACGCTATATTAGTGTCCGAGTCATGGCTTAAACCATGTCTTCCTTCAACATCTTACTCTCTCCCAGGGTGTCATTTAATTAGAAATGATCGTACTGGACGTACAGGAGGTGGAGTAGCCATTTATCTACGTTCTCATATTCCTTTTTCAATTGTTAGCATGTCTCAACATCAGGGGAACGTAGATACCGAACATCTTTTTATTGAGATCGCATTATCTCACTCTAAAATACTCCTGGGCGTTTATTACAATCCGAGTCATACGATCGATTATTTCTCATCATTTGAAACCCTGTTAGAGCAATTTAAACCTTTGTATGATCACACTTTGTCGATGGGTGATTTCAACAGGTGTCTTCAAAAAAATGATCATAGAGCTAATCGTCTTTTTTGTTCTCTTATAAATGCAGCCGATTTAAATGTTCTCCCACTAAATCCCACTCATAGATTTCCAAATTGCGTACCTTCTCTTTTTGACCTAATCTTTGTATCTTCCACCGACCTTGTTGCAAAACATGGCCAGTGCTCTGCCCCATTTTCTTACCATGATCTTATATATTTATCTTATAAATTAAAACCGCCAAAAGCAAAATCAAGAATCCTTCTGCAGCGCAATTTTAGTGGTATCAATTTAGATAGATAACATGCAGATGCTGAAAATATCGACTGGTCAGCTGTTTTTAATGCAAGCACAGTTGATGAGCAAGTATCAATATTTAATTCGCTGTTAACCCAACTGTATGACATCCATGCTCCGGTTCGCCCTGTTCGTATGAAGCATCTTCCGGCTCCGTGGCTTACTCCTGAAATCAAAAAACTCCAAGGAAAAAAATTTGTAGCGAAGTCAAAGTACGTATCTAATCCTAATGATGACAATAAGGCCAAATATATTAAGGCTCGCAATCGTTGCAATATAGTGTGTAGGGATAGTCAACGTCGCCATATCGATAAATCTATCATCGAAGAGGATGATCTAAATAAAATGTGGAAGTTTCTCAAATCCCTTGGAGTAATACTTTCTTAGATTTACGCGAATATTTGACATTTTAAATAAAACTATCTTTTCGGATTTTCTCGCGGATTTATTTGTATTTTTGTTTCCCGACGTTTCGAATGCTTTACAGCATCCATGGTCACGGGAGGGACTGAGGTGTTACATGTCTTAAAGATATAGTTGTTACAGACAGCCTACCCACAATTAACAAAATGAAAATTGCACCAATTACATTACAATATTTTAACTTTAAACATTTTTATAATTTTAATTATAATTGAATATGGAAAATTATTTATTTAATTTTTGCTATTATTTTTATAATTTCCTTCTTCCTGGAAAGATGGACAAATCTTTCCTCTTCCTAAAATATTAAGTCCATCTTCTTTTTCTGATTATCGTCCTATTTCTATTCTTCCTTTTCTGTCAAAAGTACTCGAACGATTGGTTCACCAGCAATTGAGTGCTTTCCTCTACAAATATAATCTTTTAAATTCCTTTCAATCTGGTTTCCGTCCTAATCATAGTACGACTACAGCTTTAGTCAAAATAACAGATGATATCAGGAAAGGTATGGGCCATCAAAGACTTACTGTGATGGTTCTACTAGATTTTAGTAATGCTTTTAATACGGTGGACTTTGACATCTTGCTTGCCATTATATCTTCTCTAAACATATCTCCTGAGGTCGTTGACTGGTTTCGTTCTTACTTGTGCCATCGCCGGCAACGAGTTCGGATTGAAGATTCTTACTCCGATTGGTGCAAAGTTACTGCCGGTGTTCCACAAGGTGGCGTGTTGTCTCCTCTCTTATTTTCAGTTTTTATTAATACTATTTGTCTCCAAATTTCTTCTCACTACCAGCTATATGCAGACGATTTGCAAATTTATGCCGTGACATCTGTGGCTGATTTACCACAAACAATAGAAAATATTAACAAAGATCTCTCCTCTATAGCTACATGGGGTAAATCGTACGGCCTTAACTTAAACGCAACGAAATCGCAGGCAATTATTATTGGCAGTCAAAGGATGTTGTCAAAAATTAAAACTATACAAATACCAGAAATATCGCTAGATGGTGTTCAGATTCCTTTTCAGGTTAAAAGTTAAAAGTTAAAAATCTGGGTTTACTTATTGATCAACACCTGTCATGGGATCCGCAAGTGAGTGAACTGAGCCGGAAGATGTTTGGAGCGATTGCGTCTCTTCGCAGATTGCGAAGTTTCCTTCCGATTCCTACCAAAATTGCGCTAGCAAATTCACTCCTACTACCGATTCTTGATTATGCTGACATTTGTTATCTCGACATCAAAGAGGAGCACCTGAATAAACTTGAGCGACTCCAAAATCTTTGTATACGGTTTATTTTCGGCCTTAGAAAATATGACCATGTTTCTCAATTTCGTAAAAAGCTCAAGTGGCTCCCAATCCGATTCCGCAGGAATACTCATATTCTTCATCTTCTCTACTGCGTGCTGTTTAACCCTTCAACTCCTATTTATCTGAAAGAGCGTTTTGAGTTTCTGGATGATTCCCATGCTCGTTCACTTCGCTCTGCTCAAAATTTCCTTCTTAAAATTCCTACTCACTCTACCTGTTTCTTTACAAATTCTTTTACGGTAAAAGCTGCTCGATTGTGGAATTCTATTCCTTTAAGCATTAGATCTGCTAAAAGCTTAGATAAATTTAAAAAGTTATTAAAAGATTATTATATGTCTCTTTAAGTCTTTCCCTTAGTCCTTTCCCCTAATATCATCGTTATTATTATTTCCTCTATTATGTTCTAGTATCTAATCCTATTTATTATTTGATAGATTTTTCTTTTTATGTGTGTGTGTAAATTTTACGCATATAAGTATGTATGAATGTATGTATGTATGTATGTATGTATGTATGTATGTATGTATGTATGTATGTATGTATGTATGTATGTATGTATGTATGTATGTATGTATGTATGTATGTATCTATTTATCTATAAGTATTTATGTATAGTAAACGTGTTAAAGCAAGTACACTGCCTACCTTTTTTATAAACATTTACTCCTCCACCTCAAGGTTGCCTGGAAGAGATCGCTTCCAGCGATAAGGCCGCCTGCTGTGCATCTTTTCTTTGTGTTGCTTTTTTATTTTATATTTATTTTTGGTGTACAATAAAGAATATTATTATTACTATTATTATTATTACCCTCGTGTATGTTTGGTATTGCTACTATTGATAATAATTTATGTCAATAGTAGCAATACCAAAGGTGGTAAAAATATCCCGTGATATTATTGTAAGAAAAGGAGACGATTGATAATAAGTACTCCGGGTGATTATAATTTTACTAATTAAATTATAATTTAACGGATCTTACAGTTTCCCTGCGACATAAAAATTTCATTCTTTAAGATCTTCGAGTATCGATATCTCAAAAACTAATAGAGACATCGAAAAAGTTTAGTTTTATTGTTAAAAATATATCAAATTCCGTCAAAAAAGTAAAAAAAAATACTTTTTTCAATTTTTGAGTATTGATAAATCGAAAACTAAGCGAGATATCGTAAACTTTTATTCTTATTTTTCGTCTTATTTCGTCGAGATCTATACAAATGCATCTTCAAATCGTGGCGCCGTAAGAACCGTAGTCTTGCCTGCGTATTAAAGATGCAACTCATTTGTACGTAACGTAACAATGTTTTACTGCGAAAAAAAAGCGATAAAAGTAAAAAAAAACACCAAAGAATTACGTTTAAGTAAACTGCCTTTAAAGCAAAAAAATACTGACCATTTGACTGCGCGCACAGTTGTTTTCTTCAGATTGAAGAGATGTGGCTGAGGCACTATTAATTAATTCTGAATTCCGACGATATAAATAGAAATCTTTAGTACAAGTGTTTTTGTTGTGATTAATTACTGTATATCCTGCAACTTGAACCTAATTTTTATTCTTTCATGTTATCCTGTCCCTTAAGTGACCATTTAAAGTGGTCGCTTAATATTTTATTAAATTATATCGCGAAAATTATTGCTTTCTAAATATTTTTGGGACATTTTTTGTGAGAGGTCCAACGCATTATACCTACTTAATTTGGTCTGTATCGGGTGTTTTGTACATAAAATTATGTAATAATTCATCTAAATGATAAGAAAACCTTGGCATTAAATGACCTTTATTTAATAAATTTA